TAGAGAGGAATATAAGTGAATTAATGGAACTGAAGAATACAATACAGGAACTCCGAGAAGTATGCACAGGTTTAAACACTCGAATTGTTCAAGCAGAAGAAAGGATATCAGAGGTCAAAGTCCAACTTAATGAAATAAAACAAGAAGACAAGATTAGAGATAAAAGGATAAAAAGAAATGAGCAAAGTCTCCAAGAAATGTGGGACTATGTGAAAAGACCAAATTTACGTTTGATAGGTGTACCTGAATGAGACGAAGAGAATGAATCCAAGCTGGAAAATACCCTTCAGGATATTATTCAGGAAAATTTTCCTGAACTAGCAAAGCAGGTCAATATTCAACCCCAGGTAATACAGAGAACACCACAGAGATATTCCTCAAGAAGAGCAACCCCAAGGCACATAATAGTTAGATTCACCAGGGTTGAAACGAAGGAGAAAATACTAAGGGCAGCCAGAGAGAAAGGTCAGGTTACCCACAAAGGGAAGCCTATCAGACTTACAGCAGATCTCTCAGCAGAAACTCTACAAGCCAGAAGAGAGTGGGGGCCAATATTCAACATCCTCAAAGAACAGAACCTTCAGCCCAGAATTTCATATCCAACCAAACTAAGCTTCACAACTGAAGGAAAAATAAAATCTTTTATGAACAAGCAAGTACTCGGAGATTTTATTACCACCAGGCCTGCTTTACAAGAGCTTCTGAAAGAGGCATTACACACAGAAAGAAACAACCAGTATTAGCCTTACTAAAAATATACCAAAAAGTAAAGAGCACCAACATAAAGAAGAATCTACATCAACGAATGGCTCAAACAGCCAGTTAACATCAAATGGCAGTAACCCTAAATTTAAATTGACTAAATCCCCCAATCAAAAGACACAGCCAAAACCCAACGGCATGTTACATCCAGACCTGTTTCACATGCAAGGATACACAAAGACTCAAAACAAAGGAATGGAGAAAGATTTACCAACCAAATGGAGAGCAAAAATAAATAAATAAAAAGCAGGAGTTGCAATTCTCGTAGCGGATAAAATAGATTTTAAAGCGACAAAGATATAGTGGTAAAAGGATCAATGCAACAACAAGAGCTAACGATCCTAACACCCAGATACATAGAGACTTAGATTCAATGAGACAGAAAATTAATAAGGATATCAAGGACTCGAACTCAGATCTGGAACAAGTAAACTTAATAAATATTTATAGAGCTCTCCACTTCAAATACATAAAATATACATTCTTGTCAATACCACATCACACCTACTCATAGGTTTAAATGAAACATTCATTGGCCATTATTAATACCCTTTTTTTTTCAGAATAAAGCAATATTTCATTTCACCCTCCCTCTCTCTCTTCCTCTTTCTTTCTCTCCTTTACTCATTTTTTTTCTTTCCTTCTCTCAAAAAAAGAAATCAACTTGTAAACCTCTAGATCCAGGTCGGCAATGTCTCTCTCATTGCTTGAATTCCTTCCTTCCCTTCCCTTCCCTTCCCTCCCTCCCTCCCTCCCTCCCTCCCCACCTTCCTCCCTTCCTTCCTCCCTCCCTTCCTCCTTCCCTCCCTTCCTCCTTTCTCCTTCCCTCCCAATAAATAAATAAATAAATAAAAATTGAAGACATAAAAAAAAGAAATACAAAAAATTAGCTGGGCCTAGTGGTGCATGCCTATAATCCCAGTGACTCTGGAAGCTGAGGCAGGAGAATCGCTTGAACCCAGGAGGCAAAGGTTGCAATGAGACAAGATCCCGCCATTGCACTCCAGCCTGGGTAGCAAAGCAAGACTCCATTTCAAAAAACAAAACAAAAAATGGCTGAAATTCTGATTGGGACGTCATTGAATCAGTAGATCTCTTCCTTACCGGAGGTTTTTTTTTTTTTTTTTTTTTTCTGATTAATCCTGTTTGCTTCAGTAGCAGTCTTCAACTCATCAATGAGCCCACCTTATCCTAGAACAGGACCAGTTTCACCGCAGGTCATGCTCCTCCTTAAACATCCTGTGAATGTACACACCTCCAGCCTTTGTACATCTCATTATTTTTTTTTGAGATGTGTGCCTGTATTTATTTAATTTCTTTCTTTCTTTCTTTCTTTTTTTTTTTTGAGGCGGAGTTTCACTCTTGTTGCTCAGGCTGGAGTGCAATGGTGCAATTTCAGCTCACTGCAACCTCCCCCTTCCAGGTTCAAACGATTCTCCTGCCTCAGCGTCCCAAGTAGCTGGGATTACAGGCATGTACCACCATGCTGGGCTAATTTTATATTTTTAGTAGAGACAGGGTTCACCATGTTGGCCAGGATGGTTTCGAACCCCTGACCTCAGGTGATCCACCCGCCTCAGCCTCCCAAAGTGTTGGGATTACAGGCATGAGCCACTGCGCCTGGCCAATGTGTGCCTTTATTAGTTGAGGCACCACTTGAGAGGGATGAAGCAGGAGGAGTGAGTGGCCCCGATGCCAGGCCAACCATGGTTCATCGGCTTGTAGGTGATGGAGAACTTGCCCAGGTAGTGACTGATCACCTCTGGCTTGATCTCCACCTGGTTGAAGGTCTTGCCGTTGTAGAAGCCTACCATGCTGCCCATCATCTAGGGCAGGATGATCATGTCCCGCCGGTGAGTCTGCGTCTTCACCACTTCTGGCTTCTCCATGGGCGGCACCTCCTTCTTGGCCTTGCAAAGGCACTTGCACAGCAAGTGCTGCTTCCACCGCAGGTCTGGATTCAGCTGCGGCCACTGGCACACACTGTACAGCTACATGAGCTGTTCGTAGGACATGTCCAGCAGCTGGTCCAGGTCCACGCTGCAGTAGGTCCACTTATTCTTCTGCTCCACCTCTGCCATCTTGCCAGATCCTCAGAAAGGCCTTTTTTTTTTCTTAGACAGGGTCTCGCTTTGTTACACAGGCTAGAGTGCCGTGTCCCAAACATGGCTCACTGCAGCCTCAGCCTCCCAGGCTCAAGCAATCCTCCTGCCTCAGCTTTCTGAGTAGCTGGAACTACAGGCACACACTACCACACCCACCTCATTTTTGTATTTGTGGTAGAAACAGGGCCTGGTCATGTTGCCCAGGCTGCTCTGAAACTCTGGAGCTCAGGCGATACTCCCATCTCAGCCTCCCAAAGTACTGGGATTACAGGCATGAGCTACCACGCTGAGCCCTCATTCCCAATTTACCTCTACTGGGCACCACAGTACTCACCCTCAGCTCAAATGTTATCCCTTTGTGAAGCTGTCTCTAACTCATCTCAGACCCTGGCTGAATCATTCATTTGTCTAGGTTTCACACCACTTTGTCCTCATCTGCCTCACAGGCACACAGAACTTTGAATTACTAGTTAATATCACTTTAAGCAGTCACTACTTGCTTACACATCTTTTTCCCCTATTAGATAGAATTCTTTCAAGCAAGGACCATGTTTTATTTTGTTTTGTTTTTCAGACGGAGTTTTGCTCTTTTTACCCAGTTGCTGGAGTGCAATGGCGCGATCTCAGTTCACCGAAACCTCTGTCTCCTGGGTTCAAGCAATTCTCCCGCCTCAGCCTCCTGAGTAGCTGGGGCTACAGGCATGCGCCACCATGCCCAGCTAATTTTTGTATTTTTAGTAGAGACGGGGGTTTCACCATGTTGACCAGGATGGTCTCGATCTCTTGACCTTGTGATCCACCCGTCTCGGTCTCCCAAAGTGCTGGGATTATAGGCGTGAGCCACCGCATCCGGCTAGACCATGTTATTTTTTGTCTTTTGAATTAGACTTTTTGAGATAATCATAGATTCAGACGCAGTTCTAAGAAATAAATACAAAAAAGATCCCATGTATTCTTTTCCCAGTTTCTCCCAATGGTAACACCTTTAAAAACTTTACTGCAATAACACAACCAGAAAATTGACAATGATACAATCCACTGATCTTAGATTTCCCCAGTTTTACATGTATGCCGTATGTGTGTGTGTGTGTGTGTGTGTGTGTGTGTGTGTGTGTCTGCATTTGTAGTTAAGGATTTCGTTTGTTTTTTTGAGACAGAGTTTCACTCTTGTTGCCCAGGCTGGAGTGCAATGGAGAGATCTCGCCTGACCGCACCCTCTACCTCCCCAGTTCAAGCAATTCTCCTGCCTAAGCCTCCCGTGTAGCTGGGATTACACCTGCCACCACTCCTGGCTAATTTTGTATTTCTTTTCTTTTCTTTCTTTCTTTCTTTTTTTTTTTTTGAGATGGAGTTTTTCACTCTTGTTACCCAGGCTGGAGTGCAATGGCGCCATCTCGGCTCACCCCAACCTCCGACTCCTGGGTTCAGGCAATTCTCCTGCCTCAGCCTCCTGAGTAGCTGGGATTACAGGCACGCGCCACCATGCCCAGCTAATTTTTTGTATTTTTAGTAGAGACGGGGTTTCACCATGTTGACCAGGATGGTCTCGATCTCTTGACCTTGTGATCCACCCGCCTCAGCCTCCCAAAGTGCTGGGATTACAGGCTTGAGCCACCACGCCTGGCCTTAACTTTGTATTTCTAGTGGAGATAGGGTTTCTCCACGTTGGTCAGGCTGGTCTTGCACTCCCGACCTCAGGTGATCCGCCTGCCTCGGCCTTCCGAAGTGCTGGGATTACAGGCGTGAGCCACCGCGACTGGCCTATCTTTTTACTATTTAAACTTTAACAGTGACTTAATGTCATTGGCGTTGGGAATAGACGTTTTGAAAGTAACTTAGTAAAGGCAGTTAAGCAAGATACTTAGGGCACCGTGGGACCCCAGAAGCAGCACCTAGTCCACTTTTGGAGGAGTGGTGATGGTGAGGGAATGGGGAAGGACGTCAGACTATGCCTTGGTCAAGGCCCACTACTAGCAGCTGCTCAATAACTGCGTTAAATTATGTAGAACCCCTATTTTCCACGTTGTCTTATGCAAATCCTCACATCCCTGAATGCTCCATTGTTTTCATATTTATTTGACAGGTAGAACATTCGAGGCTAGGAGCCCTTACATGCCCCGCGAGAGGTCACGCAGTTAGGAAGTGACAGGAGTGAGGTCAGCCCAAGTCTGCTGACTCCAAGCCCAGAGCTCTCTTCCCCTAACGGCAGTACACGGGGCACATATCCTCACCACGTATGCCTTAACCCTAGTTGGAACTTTGCCTCCAACCCTCTTCCTGTTTTCTTGGCTGTATTACAAAGAAGACTTTTCACGCAGCAACTCCAGAGAGAACCGACGGAGCGTCCAACAGCCAACGCTAAGGAACGCAGCTGCCCTGCAGCCGGCAGCCACGCACTCGTCACTCCCCAGTCGAGTGGGCGGTTGAACTGGCGCATGAACCCGCCTGGAGGTTGTAACCCAGAATCTCAGCCCAAGCCAAACAGAAGCGGAACCGGAAGTCGCTGTACGTCTCACGGTTGCTAAGAGACGGAGCGTCCACAAACCAGATAGAGGTTCTCCAGCTTTTCTTCGATTTCTCTGCTTTAGCATCTCTAAATCCGGTCAGCATGTCGGACCCCGAAGGCGAGACCTTGCGAAGCACGTTTCCCTCCTACATGGCGGAAGGCGAACGGCTCTACCTGTGCGGGGAATTCTCTAAAGCTGCGCGGAGCTTCAGCAACGTGAGTCGCGTTCTGAACCTACCTATCACCCCATCGCCAGTCACTTTTTTTTTTGAGACGGAGTTTCGCTCTTGTTGCCCAGGCCGGCGTGCAATGGCGCGATCTCGGCTCACTGCTACCTTCGCCTTCTGGGTTCAAGCGATTCTCTACCTCGGCCTCCCGAGTAGTTGGGATTACAGGCATTCGCCACCACGCTCAGCTAATTTTGTATTTTTAGTAGAGACGGGGTTTCTCCATGTTGGTCAGGCTGGTCTCGAACTCCCAACCTCAGGTGATCTGCCCGCCTCGGCCTCCCAAAGGCGTGAGCCACCATGCCCCGCCCACCCGTCACCTTTTGACTGCAGATAACACTGAGGCCTTGATGATGCCTGGAGGACTCTATTGTTTCTATTATTCACTGATTCTTAAAAAATTTTTTTTTCTTTTGCCTTCTTTTTTTAACCTATAAAATAAAAAGCAATATTCACTGATTCTTGATAGACACATTGCTGTCACAGATAAGCCCAGTGCTTGGTAATTTTCTACCAATTCCCACTTGCATTCTCCAGTCTCTGTGTTAACAGTGACCTCTTCCTCTACTTTTGCTTAAATGTTTCATGATTAACTGGCCTCCTTCCACAGAGCAGCCTTACCTACCCATCAAAATTTACATTTAACAATTTTTTTTTTTTTTAAGCAATCGAAAATTTACCTACCCAATCCCTTGCCAGCAGATTGGCTGAGAGGTTGTATGTAGAAGCCACAGTGTGTCCAGCACACAATTGCTTACAAAAGGTGGGCAGTAAGCAACATATTGTTATTAATTTCGAGACTAAAATTCTCGCCCTTTTGCCCAGGCTGGAGTGCAGAGGCGAGATCTCAGCTGACTGCAACTTCCACCTCCCTGGGTTCATTCGATTTTCCTGCCTCAGCCTCACGCACAGTGCTAAGCATACTCGAGTTTTGTTTTGTTTTGTTTTGTTTTTCTGAGACAGAGTTTCACTCTTGTTACCCAGGCTGGAGTTCAATGGCGCCATCTCGGCTCACCGCAACCTCCGCCTCCTGGGTTCAGGCAATTCTCCCGCCTTACCCTTCTGAGTAGCCGGGATTACAGGCACGCACCACCATGCCCAGCTAATTTTTTGTATTTTTAGTAGAGACGGGGTTTCACCATGTTGACCAGGATGGTCTCGATCTCTTGACCTCGTGATCCAACCGCCTCGGCCTCCCAAAGTGCTGGGATTACAGGCTTGAGCCACCGTACCCAGCCTGTTTTGTTTTTTTGAGACGGCCCAGGCTGGAGTGCTGAGTGCAGTGGTGCAATCTCTGCTCACTGCAATGTCCGCCTTCCAGATTCAAGTGATTCTCTTGCCTCAGCCTCCCAACTAACTGGAATTTTTGTTTTGCCCAGGATCAGTGAACTAGCAAGTGACAGAGGAGGGATTCAAAGCTAGGTTGAGACTCCAGTGCTGAGGTGCTAACCATCAAACTACACATCTGACATCTGCATAAGGAAACTATTTATTTTTTTAGCAATTGAAAATTTACATATAACAGGATCTTGTTCTGTCTCTGAGACTGGAATGTAGTGGTTAAATCACAGCTCACTACAGCCTGAAACTCCTGAGCTCAAGTGGTCCTCCCACCTTAGTGTCCCAAGTAGCTGGAGCTACAGGCTTACACCACCATGCCTGGGTAATTTTTGTTTGTTTGTTTGTAGAGATGGGTGTTTTGCTGTGTTGTCCTGGCTGGTCTTGAACACCTGGGCTCAAGTAAGACTCCCACTTTGGCCCCTCACAAAGTGCTAACATTATAGGTATGAGCTATAGTACCCTAAAAAGATGCCTTTGGCTGGGCGCGGTGGCTCACGCCTATAATCCCAGCACTTTGGGAGGCCGAGGCAGGTGGATCACGAGGTCAAGAGATCAAGACCATCCTGGTCAACAAGGTGAAACCCCGTCTCTACTAAAAATACAAAAAATTAGCTGGGCATGATGGCGTGGGCCTGTAGTCCCAGCTACTTGGGAGGCTGAGGCAGTAGAATTGCCTGAACCCAGGAGTCGGAGGTTACGGTGAGCCGAGATGGCGCCATTGCACTCCAGTCTGGGTAACAAGAGCGAAACTCCGTCTCAAAAAAAAAAAAAAAAATCAAACTTCTCAACAGCTCCCCAGAGTCGTTTGTCTCTTTCAGCCACCAACTGCACCCTAATGCCAGAAGTGACAAGATAAGTGAACAATTGAGTTCAGGAGCCCTGCCCCCACTCATTCTCCTCCTGCTGGATCATGTCCCATCTTGAAGTACCCCTGGCCGAGAAAAAAGAACACCCTGAGGGAGGGTAGCCTTAGATGAGAAGCATTTTCCAGAAAGACAGTAACTACTTCCTCTTCTTAGAAAAGTAGGAAGGTCTCTCTGTGTAGTTTGCAAGTACAGAAAAATTAAAAAAAAAAAAAGAAAAATAGGAAGATTGCCGACATTGCTCTCCGGCCTGGGCAACAAGAGTGAAACTCCATCTTAAAAAAACTCGAGAAAAAAAAAGGCCGGGTAGGGTGGCTCCACGCCTGTAATCCCAGTACTTTGGGAGGTTGAGGTGGGAGGATCACCTGAGGTCAGGAGCTCAAGACCAGCCTGGCCAACATGGTGAAACCCTGTCTCTACTAAAAATACAAAAAAAATTAGCTGGGTGTGGTGGCATGTGCCTGTAGTCCCAGCTATCGGGAGGCTGAGGCAGGAGAATTGCTTGAACCCGGGACACAGAGTTTGCAGTGAGCAGAGGTTGTGCTGCTGTACTCCAGTCTGAGCGACAGAGTAAGACTTCTCAGTCTCAAAAAAAAAAAAAAAAAGATCAGGGTGGGGTACAGTTCAATGCCTCAGGAAGGACAGCACACCACAGACTGTGGTAATCATCTCAATCAGAAGAGAAGAGAGGACACTGGGAGTGGGGAAATCACCCTCAACCCCACTTAAGGGTCAAAATCACAGTTTCAGTTTTCCTGGCATTTTCTTTTTTTTTCTTCCAGACAAAGTCTCATTCTGGCACCCAGGCTGGAGTAGTGCAGTGGCATGATCTCAGCTCACTGCAGCCTCTGCCTCTCTGTAGGGCTGATGGCCCCACAGGGTCGTGGAGTGAGCCTTATGCTGTGCTGAGGCGCAGGATTCGAGAAATAAAGAGACAGGACACAGAAGTACAAGAAAAATGCAGCTGGGCTCGGGGGGCCACGCCACCTATAAGCGGAGTTAGGCAAGGCCCCGAATGTCCAGAAGCATGAGTATTTATTGTGTGTAGGTTAGGGGGCAGGGCAGTGAGTGAAATCATCTTTAAGGATAGTGATAGGGTCGTGAGCAATAGAACATGGAGTCCACCCCCATTAGGTCACCTAGGCCAGGAGGTGGACAGTGCACAGCAAAGGGCCCATTCCCACGAAGGCAAGGGCCGTGCGCAGTGTGCAATACTTCTATCTATGGTCAAATTACTTCTAAGAAAATTTATAGGAGGATGCTTTAAGTCACATAGCAGTGACAGAGCTGTCAGGGTTACTGCCACCTTCTGGCAGCTTCCAATGGGTTCTATGGGAAGATGCTTTTCAAGCAGCACAGTAGCAAGAGCTGATAAAGTTCACAGTCACCAAGGTAGATTGCCGTTCTGAGGGCAGCCTTCCACAAGAACTGGAGCAACTCCTTTATCAGGAGGAGTGGCTCTTGCCCCAAGCCTGCCATACAGCGGGTATCTTTATGATACTGAACGCTGCCGCCTGGGCCATGGATTGTTGTCCTGGCATAACTGTTTTTCCCTTAAATCATGCTCTGCACTGTGTCTGCTCCAGGCATTCCTCTGATTATAAGCTGCTTATTCCTTAATTCATGCTCTGTACTGTGTCCACTCTAGGCATTCCTCCGATATGAACTAAGATATAATTATAGGTATATATGTAGGGAAATATTCTTTAGGCACTCATACATACTATTAACTATTACATGATTATATAGAGAGGATTATATAAAGGGATTCGTCAAGCCCTATTTCTATAAACTAATATATGATTGTATAAAGGATTATATAAAAGGAAATAGCTGAGTGGTAACACTATAAAGTGAGATATTCCTCAAGCCCTAACTGTGCCAGGGTTCTGCTTAGCTCTCATTCCTCGGTGCCTATATGGGGGGTTACCCACATCTCTCAGGTTCAAGTTATTCTCCTGCCTCAGACTCCCAAGTAGTTGGGTAGTTGAGATTACAGGTGCTCATCACCATGTCTGGCTAATTTTTTTTATTTTGAGACGGAGTCATGCTCTGTCGCCCAGGCTGGAGTGCAGTGGCATGGTCTTGGCTCACCGCAGCCTCCGCCTCACAGGTTCAAGCAATTCTCCTGCTTCAGCCTCCTGAGTTCTTGGGATTACAGGCGCCCACCACTTCACCCGGCTAATTTTTATATTTTCAGTAGAGACAGGGTTTCACCATGTTGGCCAGGCTGGTCTCGAACTCCTGACCTTGTGATCCTCCCGCCTTGGCCTCCCAAAGTGCTAGGATTACAGGTGTGAGCCACCACGCACAGCCTTGTTTTTTTTTTGAGACGAGTCTCTGTTGCCAGGCTGGAGTGCAGTGGCGCGATCTCGGCTCATTGCAGCCTCCATCTCCTGGAGCGTTTCTTCTGCCTCAGCCTCCCGAGTAGCTGAGATTACAGATGCGAGCCACCATGCCCAGCTAATTTTTGTATTTTTAGTAGAGACGGGGTTTCACCATGTTGCCTAGGATGTTCTCAATCTGCTGACCTCATGATCCACCCCCCTTGACCTCCCAAAGTGCTGGGATTACAGGCATGAGCCACTGCACCCTGCCTCTTTTTTCTTTTCTTTCTTTTTTGAGAGAGTCTCTTCTGTCACCTAGGCTGGAGTGTAGTGGTGTGATCATGGCTTACTGCAGCCTTGACCTCCCCAGGTTCAAGCAGTCCTCCCATCTCAGCCTCCTGAGTATCTGGGACTACAGACATGCACCACCACGCCCACCTAATTTTTTTTTTTTTTTTTAAATAAAAAAAGATGGGGTTTCACCATGATGGCCAGACTGGTCTTGAACTCCTGACCTCAGGTGATCCACCCACCTCGACCTGCCAAAGTGCTGGGATTACAGGCATGAGCAACCACTCCCAGCCTTTTCCTGGCATTTTAATCTTAATCCCCTGATATAGTGATTAGTTCTTATTAGCTACATAAAAAGAGAAGGCTACTAGAATGGTTAACCCACATGGCAGATTGTCCACTTCCGAATGCTTAGCCTTTGAAATTTGTTTTGAGCGTGATGTGTTGCCATTTCAGGTTTGTGGTTGAGTTTGGTGTGCACAAAATATCCTACAGTTCTATTGCCTGAGGCTCCTGGGGGGCTCTCAGACACTGGCAGAAAGTCACCCTATCCACAGAGTAGCATATTCCCGCTCTTCGGCCAGTGGCTTCCACAATAGCTGTGATTCAACCTTGTTCACGATGAGCCACATGCAGATAATCAAGCTGACTGAGCACAGTTTGGAGTTGTGCTACTTAGGAGCCAGAGGTCTGTTTGCTGGCCTGAAGAATCCCCTTGAACTTCTGCAGGAGGGTTTGGGCTGCCATTTCCACTCCTGCTTCTACCTTGCTCTTCGTGGTGGCTGTCAACCTGACTGGTTTCTTTGTCAGGCTCTTCAGCTTCAGAATGGAGACAAGAATTGCCTGGTTGCTCGCTCAAAGTGCTTCCTGAAGATGGGAGACTTGGAGAGATCCCTGAAAGATGCTGAAGCTTCACTCCAGAGTGACCCAACTTTCTGTAAGGTGACTGCATGGGGGGAGGGCTCGATCTTGCTTTCACCACTACCATTGCCTGCAGCAGCTTCTGGTTACAAGTAGCTGAAAAACCAGCCAGACCACCTACTGTTTAATGCCATTTTCTCTTCCTAGGTCATTGCCTATGTCCCTGCCCCTTGTATTCCAACCTTGACCCTCAACCCAGGACCCTTCTGTTCCCCCACATTTGAGTCCTGAAGTCTCTATCTGTTCACCTTGATTTGACTTCCTCCCATTCCAGGGGATCTTACAAAAGGCGGAGACACTATATACCATGGGAGACTTTGAGTTTGCCTTGGTATTCTATCATCGAGGCTACAAGCTGAGGCCCGATCGGGAATTCAAAGTTGGCATTCAGAAAGCCCAGGAAGCCATCAACAACTCAGTGGGAAGTAAGTGACGACAGGGCCTATGCCCTTATTTAGGAAGGTTTTTGGAATCCTTAGGTTGAGAGGAAGACTGAGGTACAGCGAGTGAGCAGCCAGCACCAGGCCCATGGGGAGTCCCACACCTGGATTTGGCTGCTGCAGCGTTGAGGATTAGGAACTGTCCACTGGGAGGACCAGGCCCTGACATACTGTACACTGATCTCTGAGCACTGCAGCCTTGGGTTTTCCTAAAGGCCAGATGAGAAGGGCTGTTTCAAAATAGGCCTGTCTTTAGCCTGGTGTCAAAAGCTAGAACACGGTCCTGAGCCCAGCCTTCCATAGTCCCTGGCTTCCTCCCTCATCAAACATATACGAAGAGCTGGCCTTAGCCATCGGCATTATGGCAGGGGGATAAGGGAGGCAAATGAGAGCAAGTGAGAGCTTGCTCTGTGGGTGACAGAGCCTGGAAATGGACAGTTTCTCCTGCACCCTTGGCCTCCCTTTGTTTGGAAATCTGCCATAGCCTTGGGCTAGCTGGGGCTGTTATCTCCTAGGATTTACACCAAACAGCCTGCAACATTTGCCTGTTAGGCTGGCTTAGGGCCAGCTTTGCCACAGCCTCCACCATCCCCCTGCCAAAGGCAGCCATCTCCACATAAAGATACGTGATAGGTCATGCCTGAGGGGGCTGGCCTACCTGAGCTCCAGCTTCTTTCCTTGCAGGTCCTTCTTCCATTAAGCTGGAGAACAAAGGGGACCTCTCCTTCTTAAGCAAGCAGGCTGAGGTAAGGGCCCTGGTCCTGTGGCTGTATCCCTTTAAGGGAAGAGGCTACATGTGCCTGAGAAGGGGTCTTGGGAGTCTGGCTGCAACCCAACCAGGCATACTCCATGGTTCTTGGCCCACAGAAAAGTACTGGAGTTGGAGGAATCTGGGATCAAACATGCTGGGATCATGGCTGGATACGTTGTGCTCCTTGCTGAAACTCTGTTGGGTATTGCTCCATTTTCTCAGAATATGAAAGCCCAGCAGAAGCCTCAGCCCATGAAACACCTCTTACACCCCACCAAGGGAGAGTCCAAGCGGAAGGGCTCAATCAAGAGTGAGAAGATTGTCCGCCAGCTTCTGGGGGAGCTCTACGTGGACAAAGAATACTTGGAGAAGCTCCTATTGGATGAAGGTTTTGGACACTTTGTTGGCATGGGGCCTTGGGGAAAGGAAACCTGGGTGGATGCTGAATGCATGAGCCGAAGGCAGAACCTGTCATGTAATATTAGCTGACATGTACCTATGGACAGGTTTTATTAGCATTCTCATTTTACAGATAAGGAAACTGAGGTGCAGACCAACAGAAACTAAGGTCACATATGGGTAGGGAATGACATGGCTTATGTTTGAATCCAGGACGTCCAATTTTAGAGCAGTGGTCCTAAGTGCTAAGGTACCCTGGGAGGGAACAACAGAGATTTGGTCTCCTTTACCACCATAGACCCTGGAGAGGCATCCCCTTTGCCTTCAATCTGTACAACGGGCAAAGGAATCCAGTGACTAGTGCTTGAATACAAGGATGTTACTTCTAGAATGTTCTGAAACATCATCTAGTCCAAGTTCTCCTTTCATAGATAAGGAAATAGAGACCCTGATTGGGGAGGAACTTTTACAAGGCGACAAGCAAGTTCATGGTGGAGTCAGTACCAGAACCGAGGCCTCTGACCTCCAGTCCAGTGCTCTTTTTTTTTTTTAATGACAGAGTCTCGCTCTGTCACCCAGGCTGGAGTGCAGTGGCATGAACTCGGCTCACTGCAACCTCTGCCTCCTGGGCTAAAGTGATTCTCCTGCCTCAGCCTCCTTAGTAGCTGAGATTGCAGGTGCCCACTGCCACACCCGGCTAATTTTTTGTATTTTTTAGTAGAGATGGGGGTTTCACCATATTGGCCAGGCTGGTTTCAAACTCCTGACCTTGTAATCTGCCTGCCTTGGCCTCCCAAAGTGCTGGGATTACAGGCATGAGCCACTACGCCCAGCCTAAGTTTTTGTATTTTAAGTAGAAATGGGGTTTTACCATGTTGGCCAGGCTGGTTTTGATCACTCCAGACCTCAAGTGATCCACTCATCTCACCCTTCCAAAGTGCTAGGATTACAGGCGTGAGCCATTGCACCTGGCCAGTCTAATGCTCCTTTTACCATACTGCTGCCAGTGGATGCAGGACAGAGCCCTGAGATTAATGTCGCATATAAACATGGGGATAGTAGTATTGCCATTAGCTGATAAGCCTGAGCAAGGTCACCTGTGAATCAAATGCCTCTTCTCTAGAATTGGCTTCCCAAGGTCATGTGTAGGGATCCCTGCATGGCTGTGACAAAGGAACAGCTTCAATGCTGGCACATCTCCTTGGCAATAGGCCTGAATGCCTCCTATTTTCCAGAGGACCTGCCACAGAAGAAAAGGGTGGCTTGATATGACCCCAAGTGGCCTTGGAGCTTTGCTGCTGGCTGCAACGTCTGGCCAAGCAGTGGGCAGGACTTGGGCACCAACCCCTTTAGCTCCCCACATGTACAGGCCCACTGGGAACCTGGGAAATCACTGGGCACTGGCAGCCTGGGCCAGATCATGCATTTAGACTCAATGTTCTCTGAGGACCCAGCTTGAACTGGGGAAGTCCCGAGGCTTCTCAGCGAGCCGTCCATCAGCTGCCCCTTCTGGCTAGCTCCTTGGATCTTGCCATAAGGGGCCCATCCCATGGAACTGCCTGAGAGTGGGGCTCTGGCTGCATCCTGGCCTGGATGAACCCACTCTGCCACCATGCACACTCACATTCCTCTCTGTTTCAACAACTGGCAGAGCTCTTCGCAGAGAGCCCTGCAGCAGCTACCGGGAGGCAACAGGAGGCATTTCCCCTAGAGGCCTGTTCTCCTTGATGCCTCCTCACACTCCTTCCCCACAGACCTGATCAAAGGCACCATGAAGGACGGCCTGACTGTGGAGGACCTCATCATGTCTGGCATCAACTACCTGGATACTCACAGCAATTTCTGGAGGCAGCAGAAGCCGATCTACGCCAGGGAGCGGGACCGGAAGTTGATGCAACAGAAATGGCTGCCGGACCACAAACGCAATCCCTCACAGACAGCCCATTACATCCTCAAGAGCCTGGAGGACATTGACATGTGTGGGTGTTGTTCTCAGAGGGTGGGGGCAGGTGCCTCCAGTGCCCTATCAGGTGGGGAAGGAGCAACCTAGTAGCCTGAGCCCCTGGCCTCTCTGACCTGCAGATGGTGTCTGCATGGAGAGGAATTACCCTGTCAGTGAAGAGGAGGCTGCCCTGGCCTCCACAGCACCCCTTTCCTTTCCCAGTGCTCACAAGCGGCAGTGCCGAGGGGAGTCTTCAGAAAGCTGAGAAAGTGCTGAAGAAGGTACTGGAATGGAACAAGGAAGAGGTATCCAACAAGGATGAACTGGTTGGAAACTTGTACAGCTGCATAGGCAATGCCCAGATTGAGCTGGGGCAGATGGCAGCAGCCCTGCAGAGCCACAGAAAGGACCTGGAGATCGCCAAGGAATAGTGAGTGCCCTGGGGCAGGCCACTGCCATGAACCTACAGAGGAGAGCTGCTGGGGCTATCGAGGCCCTTGCCAGGGCTGCTGGTGACTTGACTCCCATTTTCTTTTTTTTTTTTTTTTTGAGACGGAGTTTCGCTCTTGTTACCCAGGCTGGAGTGCAATGGCACTATCTCGGCTCACCGCAACCTCCGCCTCCTGGGTTCAGGCAATTCTCCTGCCTCAGCCTCCTGAGTAGCTGGGATTACAGGCATGCGCCATCGTGCCCAGCTAATTTTTTGTATTCTTAGTAGAGACGGGGTTTCACTACGTTGACCAGGATGGTCTCGATCTCTTGACCTTGTGATCCACCCGCCTCGGCCTCCCAAAGTGCTGGGATTACAGGCTTGAGCCACCGCGCCCAGCCTTGACTCCCATTTTCTGCTCTGCATGCCCGAGTTAGATTCTCCTGGAGGTGGGGACCACCTGCCCAGGACTGAGGTGGGGGCACCTAGACTGTTAGCTTTTTTGACGCAAAAAGGAGGGTAGTGCCTCAAAATTCCAAAAAGCCACCCAGTGGTCTGGCCCTTAGGTTATGTTTATATTCTTACATCATCTCTTTTTTTTTCCTTTTTTTTTGGTCTGGTATACTCCCGTAATAGTTCTTGGTCTTACATCATCTTAACAAGCACACGTGAAGCCCCAGACATGCCAGATGCTGCTAGTGTGGGAACACAGTAATGACCAGACCCAAGGGTCATTTCCCTGCAGAGGTCAAGCACAAAGGGACATAGCTAATTCATTGCAACTGTGATAAATGCCGTGAAAGAAAAGTACAGGATCCAGTGTGGTGAGAAATATATTCCAGGAAGACTTGATGACACTGAGGACACACAGGGCCTATGGAAAGGTCCTGAGACTGAAGGGTACTTAAGGCTGCAGAGCACAGCATATTGCCAGGGAGAGTGGCCAAGAGGAGGCTGAAGGAAGTGGGCAGGGGTCGGTTCAAGCATGGTCTTGTGAACCACTGCTGACCAAGAGCACCGGCTATGGAGTCAGGCAGACCTAGGCTGTGAACTTGCGCTGCCCAGCTGTGGGACCTGGGACAAGTCATTTTAGCTCCCTCAGCCTCAGGGTCTCCTCCTCTGTTAGCTGGGCACCCTGTAGTGCGGAAGGGAGGAAGATGCAGAAGTACATGTGCAGAGCTTAGGACAGTACCTGGTATCCACAATAGTAGTAACACCAGCTCTCTAGAAATGAGCTCTTCTCAAGACTTGCTGGCTTCCACCCAGAGTTTCCATCACTTCCTCAGCATCCTGGTTCTACCCTTGGGAGTCATTCTTGACTTCCTCCTGGCTGGTTTCTACTCATCTCACCAGTCTTGAGCCTCATTGGTCTCCCATCATTTCATTTGCCCTCAGTGCGCAGCCCTCAGCCAACCAACCCTACTCCTGCTGCTTCCCCTGCTTCTGCTGTTTCTCTCCAGCTCCTCCCACAAATCTCGAGAGACACAGGCTATGAACTCTCCCTCTCCTGCTGACAAGTAGGCCAGGGCCCCTCACTGCCTGCAGGTTAAATGTTGAGCCCCTTTTCTTAGCCCTCAGGCCCTCTCTGAACCCACCCTTGCCCTCTTATAATAATCTTCCCTTGGGGTCAAATGTTTCTGAACATTCCTGTCTCCTGCCCTTTCCTCTTCACTTATCCAAGCCCCATATGCTTTCCATTTTCAGTTCATTTCTCACCTGCCTCCACTGTGCTGGGCAGGAATATCCCATATTGGCCATCCCATATTAGGAAAAAACAGCTTTAGGGCCAGGCCTGTCTTTGATCCCTGGCTCTGCCACTTAGCAGCTATGTGAATTTGATTAAGTTGCTCCTCTCCTCAATTTCCTCATCTCTAATAAAGGTATCATACCAACCCACAGGGATTGTGGGATTCGATATGATGTATATATGGTACCTTGGATCCAACCATTTCCCTTGCACAAATGACTTAGGAATCTACTTCTCTCCAGACCTCTCTCCTGAGCCTCAGACCTTGGTGTCCAGCGGATTCTAAGACATTTCCATCTGGATGTCCCACAGGAATCCTAAACTTAACATATCCAAATCGGAATCCCTTATCTACCTTCCAAACCTACTACTCAAGGGTTCCCCATCCTCATGGATGGCACTGTTGGCTATTCAGTCCCTAAGCCAGAAGCCTGGGAGGCTTCCCAGACACCTCCCTCCACTCACTGTTTTTGCAGTGTTGCCCAAGTTGGCCTGGATGATGTGCCTGGCCCCCTCACTGTTCACACCCAGGGCCAGCCACGTCCTGTCCTGTCTGCTTTCTCTGTCTCCCTCCCACAACTCAGTCCAGGCCCCCCTCACTTTTTGCCTGTTTCCTCTGACCTGGGCTTCCTGCAGCTCAGCTGGCCTTTCTCTGAAAAGCAACTCCTGTGGTTGGGATGAAGTTTCAATGCCCTGCTCAACACAGGTTGCCTTCTTCACCTGACTTCTGGCCTCTCTTGACCTGGCTTTCTCGAGGCCCCCAGGCATTCTGGACCCCAGCCAGTGCAGAGCTGTGTGCGTATCCTCCAGCCCCAGGAATGCCTCCCACCCATTCCTCCACATTTCAGTAAAGGTTGAAAAGCCTGCTTCCTAGGCTCAAGCAGTCTTCCTGCCTCAGCCTCCTGAGTAGCTGGGACTACAGGCATGAGCCATTGTGCCTGTTTGTTTTTACACAAGTACTACAATGTCAGGCTCTAAGTCTTGATCTGGAACTGGGTGGGTACTGAGAGCAAAACCTGAAAGTTGTCCCCACAATCCATTTCCCGCCACTTCCCGAGATGATCTTGTTGAAATCACCTCTGTCCTTTTTTCAGTGTATTTACCTGCATACTCATGTACATGTGTCGGATTTTTAAAACAAAAGCAGTTCCTTGCTATGCTCTTTCTTTTTTAAAAAAAAATGTGTCTTGCTCTCAAAAATAAACACAGGCCAGGCACAGTGGCTCACACCTATAGTCACAGCACTTTGGGAGGCTTAGGCAGGATTGCCTGAGGCTGGGTATTTGAGACCAGCCTGGGCAAATTAGCCAGGTGTAGTTTCTTGAGCATGTAGACCTAGTTACTCAGGAGGCTGAGGCAGGAGGATCTGTTGAGCCCAAGAGTTTAAGGCTGCAGTGAGCTGTGGAGGCCAGGAGTTTGAGACCAGCCTAGGCAGCATGGCGAACCCTGTCTCTATTAAAAATACAAAAATTAGGCCAGGCGCGGTGGCTCAAGCCTGTAATCCCAGCACTTTGGGAGGCCGAGGCGGGTGGATCACGAGGTCAAGAGATCGAGACCGTCCTGGTCAATGAGGTGAAACCCCGTCTCTACTAAAAATACAAAAAATTAGCTGGGCATGGTGGTGTGCGCCTGTAATCCCAGCTACTCAGGAGGGTGAGGCAGGAGAATTGCTTGAACCCAGGAGGCGGAGGTTGCAGTGAGCCGAGATCGTGCCATTGTACTCCAGCCTGGGTAACAAGAGTGAAACTCCGTCTCAAAAAAAAAAAAATACAAAAATTAGCTGGGCATGGTAGCACGTACCTGTAGTCCCTGCTACTCAGTGGCTGAGACATGGGAGTCACTTGAACCCTAGAGGTGGAGGTTGCAGTTACCCAGGATCACACCATTGCACTCCAACCTGGGCAACACAGTAAGAGTGTCTAAAAAAAAAAAAAAAGACAAAACACACACACACACTCTCTCTCTCTCTCTCTCTCTCTCTCTCTCTCTCTCTGCCTTTCTTAGAGCACTGATAACATTTTTTTGGCTGGGCACGGTGGCTCACGTGTGTAATCCCAGCACTTTGGGAGGCTGAGGTGGGTAGATCATCTGAGGTCAGGAGTTCGAGACCAGCCTTTCCAACATGGCGAAACTTGTCTTTACTAAAAATACAAAAATTAGCTGAGCATGGCAGCATGTGCCTGTAATCCCAGCTACTTAGGGGGATAAGGCAGGAGAACTGCTTGAACCCAGGAGGCGGAGGTTGCAGTGAGCTGAGATCATGCCACTGCACTCCAGCCTGGGCAATATTATACACTGTGCTTTAATGACTGTTCTTATCACATATCTTCTTGAGGTAGATTCCTAGAAGGGCAATTGGTGGCTCAAAGGGACATCTTTGCAAGATGTTGACTGATTACCCTACAGAAAAGTTCTGATAATGTTCACTCTTGGCCCTAAGGCACAGGAGAACCTATGTGCCATATTCTTGCCAGACTGGGCCTTATCCCTCCAACTGAAACCCTGAGGTTCTGAGGCCAGCGCCCCTGTCTTTGCCTTCCTTCCTATTTCCACAGTGCCTAGAACAGCCGATTTCTAGTGAATGGCTTGTTTTGCTTCTTCCTCACAGTGACCTTCCTGATGCAAAATCGAGAGCCCTTGACAACATTGGCAGAGTTTTTGCCAGAGTTGGGAAATTCCAGCAAGCTATTGACACGTAAGTGATCAAGAATTGCCTCTTCCCCACCTCCACCATTAGAACTTCTCACCCTAACATGAAAAATTTTTCCAGTGATAAGCATCCAGCCTAGGCAACATAGAAAGACTCCGTCTGTACCAAAAAAAAAAAATTAGCTGGGCATACTGTCCTGTGTCTGTGGTCCCAGCTACTTGGAAGGCTGAGGTGGGAGGATTACTTGAGCCTGGGAGGCTGAGGCTGCAGTGAGACATGATCACCTACTGCACTTCAGCCAGGGCAATATGTTACCTGTGGAAGGTATCCAAGTTTTTGGTGGTGAATCTGGACAGGTCTGCAGCAACCTCAATTCTTGCCTTCTCAGAAGAAATAATTTGACTGAGGGGCATAAGGCAGAAAAAGTGATTGAGACAAGTTTCAGAGCAGAAGTGGAAGTTTATTAAAAAGATTTAGGGGCTGAGCGCAGTGGCTCACACCTGTAATCCCAGCACTTTGGGAGGCTGAGGTGGGTGGATCACAAGGTCAAGAGATCAAGACCATCCTGGCCAACATGGTGAAACTCTGTCTCTACTAAAAAGTACAAGAAAGTCAGCTGGGCGTGGTGGCGTGCACCTGTAGTCCCAGCTACTCGGAAGGCTGAGGCAGGAGAATTGGAAGTTGCAGTGAGCTGAGATTGCACCACTGCACTCCAGCCTGGTACCTGGCAACAGAGAGAGACTGTGTCTCAAAAAAAAAAAAATAAAAGCAAAAAAAAGATTTAGGGTAGGCTGGGTGCGGTGGCTCACACCTGTAATTCTAGCACGTTGGGAGGTTGAGGCAGGAGGATCGTGAGGTCAGGAGATTGAGACCATCCTGGCCAACATGGTAAAACCTCATCTCTACTGAAAATACAAAAATTAGCTGGGCATGGTGATGCATGCCTGTAGTCCCAGCTACTAGGGAGGCTGAAGCAGGAGAATTGCTTGAACCAGGGAGTCGGAGGTTGCAGTGAGCTGAGATGGCACCACTACACTCCAGCCTGGTGATAGAGCGAGACTATGTTTCAAAAAAAAAAAAAAAGCTTGAGAACGGTGGTGGTGGTGGTGGCTTTGGCAACTCGGGACTGAGTGTAAGTAACATAGAATTAGCGTGATTCTTCAGAGGCTCTTCAGGTTCTCCTCTGTCATTTGGTCAGCAGTCTCGGTCCATTTGCAGAGAAACATTGGTGTTACAGCAGTGTCATTAAATGAGGAACTTGATCCTGTACAGAAACTCTTTGTGGACAAGATTAGAGAATAGAAATCTAAGCCACAGAAATCTGGAAGACCTGTTGATGCTGGTCCAGAATATCAGCAAGATCTGGAGAGGGAGCTTTTTAAACTCAAGCAAATGTTTGGTAAAGGAGACATGAATACCTTCCCCACCTTCAAATTTGAGGATCTCAAATTTGAAGTCTTTGATAAACCCCAGGCCTGAAGAAATAAAGTAAAATTAATCTGGTACTTTGTCATGGGTTAGTTATACAACTAGTTAGAAGTTTCAGAATAAACATACATTTCATAACTGTCAAAAATAAAAATTAAAAGCTTTAGGGCAGAAAAGAAAGTACACTTGGAAGGGACCCAAGTGGGTGCTGAGCAGGACAAGTGCGGTGTTTAACCTTGATCCTAGGACTTTACAGACTGGCCCCTTTCCCATAATTCTTCCCTTAGGGTGGGCTGCCCATTTGTGCAGTGCCCTCCTTACCCTTGGGAGGTGAGCATGCACAGTGTGTTTAGGAAGTTGTACACATGCCTGTCTGAGGCTTTCTCCCCCTTACCAGTGGAGTGCCTCCAGAAGTCCATGCTCTACCATTTTGTCTCTTAATGTGCATGCCTGGGAAGTTGCTTCTCCCTGCCCTCTACGTTCAATTAACACTTTAGTGCGACAGGTGTGGACCATCACGAACTGGCCTCTTTCTGGTGTGGGCTGCCAATGTGTCACTTTTATTTTACTTTATTTTATTTTTTTGAGACGGAGTCTTGCTCTGTTGCCCAGGCTGGAGTACAGTGGTGTGATCTCGGCTCACCGCAAACTCCATCTCCCAGGTTCAAGCGATTCTCCTGCCTCAGCCTCCCGAGTAGCTGGGACTACAGTCGTGCGCCACCACGCCCAGCTAATTTTTGTATTTTTAGTAGAGACAGGGTTTCACCATGTTGGCCAGGCTGGCCTTGAACTCCTGAACTCAGCTGATCTGCTTGCCTCGGCCTCCCAAAGTGCTGGGATTAGAGGCATGAGCCACTGTGCCTGGCCAATTATCACTTTTAGAGCGGCAATGTGATAATTGCCAACCATCACCTGACATTCCTGGTGAATCAGGGAGAGCCCTCAGCTGCCCTGCTCATGCCTAACTACCTGTAAGAAATAGAGCAAGATCCTGTCTCAAAAATAAATAATAAGTAAAATAATCATATGGAGTACTTGTTAGTAATATGAATTACTGGGCATCTCTCCTGGAAATTCTGATTCTACAGGTTTGGATTGGAGCTTAGGAATCCTTTTTAACCGCACTCCAGGTAATTCTTAACTTTGGGGAAGTTCAGTAATTGGGGGATCAATTAACCTCTGAGACATCTTCTGAAATGATTCTGTGACTCCATGTGGTTGGGTAGGGGCGCTGGGAACAGTGTCTATGCTCTTCAGATCACCTAACTGCCAGAGTTTTTTTTAAAACGTTAGAGTGGGCCCAGCGTGGTGGCTCATGCTTGTAATCCCAGCACTTTTGGAGGCCAAGGCGGGTGGATCAGAAATGAGGAGATGGAGACCATCCTGGCCAACGTGGTGACACCCCATCTCTACTAAAATATAGAAAACTAACCAGGCATGGTGGCATGCTCCTGTAGTCCCAGCTACTTGGAGGCTGAAGCAGGAGAATCACTTGAACCCGGGAGGTGGAGGTTGCAGTGAGCTGAGATTGCACCACTGCACTCCAGGCCTGGCAACAGAGTGAGATCCATCACACACACACACACACAAAGACAGAGTGAGACTCTGTCTCCAGGCTGGGGCTGGAGTAGAGTGGCACGATCATAGCTCACTGCAGCTTCAAATTCCTAGGCTCCAGCAGTCCTCCCTCCCATGTAGCTGCTGACTACAGGCACATGCCACCACAGCTGGCTAACTGGCTAATTATTATTATTATTTTTTTGTGAGATAGAGTTTTGCTCTTGTTGCCTAGGCTGGAGTATAATGGTAAGATATCTACTCATCGCAACCTCCGCCTCCCAGGTTCAAGCGATTCTCCTGCCTCCGCCTCCCAAGTAGCTGGGATTACAGGCATGTACCATCATGCCTGGCTAATTTTGTATTTTTTGTAGAGACAGGGTTTCTCTGTGTTGTTCAGGCTGGTCTTGAACTCCTGATCTCAGGTAATCCACCCACTTTGGCCTTCCAAAGTGCTGGAATTACAGGCATAAGCCACCTCACCTGGCCAAAAAAATAATCTAAATGTTATCAGTGCTCTAAAAAAGGCAGTTTGTGTGTATGGGGTGTATGTGTGTATGTGTATGTGAGTTTTTGGTTGTTTTTTTTTTTTAAGACAGTCTCGCTGTGTCGCCCAGGTTGGAGTGCAGTGGCATGATCTTGGCTCACTGCAACCTCTGCCTCCAGGGTTCAAGTGACTCCGAGTAGCAGGGACTACAGGCATGTGCCACCATGCCCAGCTGAGTTTCATATTTTTAATAGAGATGGGGTTTCACCATGTTGCCCAAGCTGGTCTTGAACTCCTGGCCTCCATAGCTCACTGCAGCCTTAAACTGTCGGGTTTAAGGGATCCTCCTGCCTCAGTTTCCTGAGTAACTAAAGTAGGTCTGCATCTTTTATTGATCTTGTGATTTTTTCATTCCAATTTTTTTGTTTTGATTTTCTCATATATACTTAGTAATTTCTTTTCTCTCTCTCTTTTTTTTTTTTTTTTTTTTGCGACAGGGTCTCACTTTGTCACCCAGGCTAGAGTGCAGTGGCGCGATTATAGCTTACTTCAACTTCAACCTCTCAGGCTTAAGCGATCCTCCCACCTTAGCCTCCCAAGTAACTGGGCTACAGGTGCACGCCACCATGCCTGGCTAATTTTTTTACTTTTTGTAGTGATGGGGTTTTGCCATGTTGCCCAGGCTCGAACTCCTGGGCTCAAGCAATCCACCGGCCCTCGCTTCCCAAAGTGCTGGCATTACAGGCATAAGCCACCATACTTGGCAATAATATTCTTAAACATTATTCGTGTGTGTGTACGTGTGTGTGTTGAGATAGAGTCTCGCTCTGTTTCTCAGGCTAGAATGCAGTGGCATGATATTGGTTCACTGCAAGCTTTGCCTCCCAGGTTCAGGTGATTCTCATGCCTCAGCCTCCCGAGTAGGTGGGATTACAGGCGTTCGCCACTACACCTGGCTAAGTTTTGTATTTTTTTTTTTTTTTGAGGCAGAGTCTCACTCTGTTACCAGGCCGGAGTGCAGTGGCACAATCTTGGCTCACTGCAATCTCTGCCTCCTGGGCTCAAGCGATTCCCCTGCCTCAGCCTCCCAAGTAGCTGGGACTACAGGTGCCCATCAACACGCCGGCTAATTTTTTGTATTTTAGTAGAGGCGGGGTTTCACCATGTTGGCCAGGATGGTGTTGATCTCCTGATCTCATTATCAACCCGCCTCGGCCTCTCAAAGTGCTGGGATTACAGGCATGAGTCACTGCACCCAGCCTAATTTTCTTTTTTTTTTTTGAGATGAAGTCTTGCTCTGTCGCCAGGCTGGAGCACAGTGGTGCAGTCTCGGCTCACTGCAACCTCCACCTCCTGGGTTCAAGCAATTCTTCCGCCTCAGGCTCCAGAGTAGCTGGGACTACAGGCGCGTGCCAAACGCCCGGCTAATTTTTGTACTTTTGGTAGAGACGGGGTTTCACCATGTTGGCCAGGATGGTCTCAATCTCTTGACCTCGTGATCCACCCACCTTGGCCTCCCAAAGTGCTGGGATTGCAGGTGTCAGCCACTGCGCCTAGCCTAATTTTTGTATTTTTAGTTGAGTTGGGGTTTTGCCATGTTGGCCAGGTTGGTCTCGGACTCTTGACTGCAGGTGATCTGCCTACATTGGCCTCACAAGGTGCTGAGGTTAGAGACATGAGCCACCAGGTGGCTGAGATTAGACATGAGCCTCAACTATTGTATGAAATTCCACATTCCATAGATGTGGCCCTATTTCTGTGTTATTTCAAATGCTATTTTTACACATTGTTTTTATCTTTTTAATTTATTATTTGCCTCTTTTTCTTTTTTAGAGACGAGGTTTAACCATGTTGGTCAGGCTGGTCTTGAACTCCTGACCTCATGATCTGCCCGCCTCGGCCTCCCAAAGTGCTGGGATTATAGACATGAGTCACCTTGCCTGGCCATTTTTTTTTTTTAGACAGACTCTCACTTTGTTGCCCAGGCTGGAGTGCAGTGGTACAATCTTGGCTCACTGCAACCTCTACCTCTGGGGTTCAAGAGATTTTTCTGCCTCAGCCCGCTGAGTAGCTGGGACTATAGGCATCTGCCGCCATGCCTGGCTAATTTTTGTATTTTTAGTAGAGACAGGGTTTCACTGTGTTGGCCAGGCTGGTCTCAAACTCCTGACCTTAGGTGATCTGCCCACCTTGGCCTCCCAAAGTGCTAGGATTAGAGACATGAGCCACCCTGCCAGCCTCAACTGTTATATTAAATTCCACATTCTGTGGATGTTACCAAAACAGTCTCAGTAGTCTTCTTTCCTTTTTTTTTTGAGATGGAGTCTCAGGCTGGAGTGCAGTGGCACGTCTCAGCTTACTGCAGTCTTCTCCTCCTGGGTTCAGACGATTCTCCTGTCTCAGCCTCCCAAGTAGCTGGGACTACAGGTGTGCACCACCACGCCCAGCTAATTTTTGTGTTTTTAGTAGAGATGGGGTTTCACCAAGTTGGCCAGGCTGGTCTCAAACTCCTGACCTCAAGTGATCCGCCCATTTCGGCCTCTCAAAGTGCTGGGATTACAGGTGTGAGCCACTGCACCTGACTTGGTAGTCTTAAAATATCTTTATGCTGATTATTTCCACCCTTGTATCTAAAAGAACTGGTAGTTGGAGAATAAGTTTTATTCCATCACCCAGCAGGAAACCTTGGGATCCTGTGGCCTAGTGTATGGTTTTGGGGCAAAAAGCTAACCCTGGTTCTTTATGTCCCCAGCTGGGAAGAAAAGATCCCTCTGGCAAAAACCACCCTGGAGAAGACCTGGCTGTTCCACGAGATTGGCCGTTGCTACTTGGAGCTGGACCAGGCCTGGCAGGCCCAGAATTATGGCGAGAAGTCCCAGCAGTGTGCCGAGGAGGAAGGGGACATTGAGTGGCAACTGAATGCCAGTGTTCTGGTGGCCCAGGCACAAGGTATGGGCTCAGAGATGACCACCCTACCTTTCCCAGCTTTCAGGCCCAGCTTACCCCAGGGCTGGAAGTCCTGTGGACTGAGTTTGCCATCCCAGTGTTTTTCTTCCCAGATCATTCTGAGAGTGGGGATAAACCACTCCATTTTGACCAGCACTTGGTAAGTGCCTGCTTTAAGCAAAGCTTGGTTAGGGGTTGGGACAGCTTGAGCCTGTCTCTGCCCTTGAGGATCTCAGCTAGAGACCCGGACAGTATCATGTCGTCCTCAAAACACTGTTCATATATTGAGCAGTGTCTCTCCTGTCTTTGTACTTTTTTTTTTTTTTTTTTTGGAGATGGAGTTTTGCTCTTGTTGCCCAGGTTGGAGTGCAATGATGCAATCTTGGCTCACTGCAACCTCCACCTCCCTGGTTCAAGCAATTCTCTGGCTCAGCCTGCTGAGCAGCTGGGATTACAGGTGCCCAGTACCACACCCAGCTAATTTTTGGCATTAAAAAGAATTCTCGGCTCACGCCCGTAATCCCAGAACCTTGGAAAACCGAGGCAGGCGGATCACAAGGTCAAGAGATTGAGACCATCCTGGCCATGGTGAAACCCCGTCTCTACTAAAAATACAAAAATTAGCTGGGCGTGGTGGCACACGCCTGTGGTCCCAGCTACTCAGGAGACTGAGGCGGAAGAATCACTTGAACCCAGGCGGAGGTTGCAGTGAGCCAAGATTGTGCCACTGCACTCCAGCCTGGCGACAAGCAAGACTCCATCTCAAAAAAAAAAAAATTATTTATTATACTTTAGGTTCTGGGGTACATGTGCAGCACCTGCAGGTTTGTTATATAGGTATATATATATATACCTATACATGTATATACATATATATGTACATATACATATATATATACCTACATGCCATGGTGGTTTGCCGCATCCATCACCCCGTCATCTACATTAAGTATTTCTCCTAATGCTATCCCTCCCATCCCCCTATCCCCTGCTGTCCCTCCCCTAACCCCACCCCTCAATTTTTGGCTTTTTTTTTTTTGAGACAGAGTTTTTCACTCTTGTTACCCAGGCTGGAGTGCAATGGCGCGATCTCGGCTCACCACAACCTCTGCCTCCTGGGTTCTGGCAATTCTCCCGCCTCAGCCTACTGAGTAGCTGGGATTACAGGCACGCGCCACCATGCCCAGCTAATTTTTTGTATTTTTAGTAGAGACGGGGTTTCACCATGTTGACCAGGATGGTCTCAATCTCTTGTCCTCGTGATCCACCCGCCTTGGCCTCCCAAAGTGCTGGGATTACAGGCTTGAGCCACTGCCCCTGGCCGGCTTTTTTTTTTAAATAGATGGAGTCTTGCTCTGTCACACAGGCTGGAGTGTAGCAGTGTGATCTTGGCTCACTGCAACCTCTACCTCCCAGGTTCAAGCAATTTTCTGCCCCAGTCTCCCAAGTAGCTGGGATTATAGGCTAATTTTTGTATTTTTAGTAGAGATGGGGTTTCACCATGTTGGCCAGGCTGGTGTTGAACTCCTGACCTTGTGATCCACCCACCTCAGGCTTCCAAAGTGGTGGGATTACAGGCATGAGCCACTGAGCCTGGCTGCAATGGCCTTTTACAATCTGACTTATGAATGCAAGGGCTTCCTTTCCCCATGAATCCCAAAGCAGTGTTTGGGAGGAAGATAGATCTTACGTATACTCAGTTGTAAAAGAAAGCAGTAGTGGTGGCTCACACCTGTAATCCCAGCACTTTGGGAGGCAAGGAGGACAGATCACGAGGTCAGGAGATCAAGACCATCCTGGCCAACATGGTGAAACCCCATCTCTACTAAAAATACAAAATTTAGCCAGGTGTAGTGGCGGTCAACTGTAATCCCAGCTACTCAGGAGGCTGAGTCAGGAGAATCACTTGAACCCATGAGGTGGAGTTTGCAGTGAGCCAAAATCATGCCACTGCACTGCAGCCTGGTGACAGAGTGAGATGCCATCTCAAAAAAAAAAAAAAAAAAGAAGGCAGTGGTTGTTAAGCACGTTCTTGGCTTTCTTAATTGGCTGTTAAGCACTTTCTTCTTTCTTCCTGAAGTGAAGCTCTTAGCCAGGTGTGGTGGTTCACGCCTGTAATCCCAGCACTTTGGGAGGCCAGGATAGAGGATTGCTTGAGGCCAGGAGTTTGAGACCAGGTTGAGTAACATGGTGAGACTCTGTCTCTTTTAATTTAATTAATTAAATAAATTTAATTTAATTTAATTTGTGTGTGTGTGTGTGTATATGTGTGTGTTTTTGAGACAGGGTCTCGCTCTGTCACCCACACTGGAGTGCAGCAGTGTGATCTCAGCTCACTGCAACCTTGACCTTCTGGGTTCAGGGGATCCTCCTATCTCAGCCTCCCATGTAGCTGGGACTACATGCATGAGGTACCACACCTGGCTAATTTTGTATTTTTGGCAGAGATGGGGGTCTCACTACATTGTTCAGACTGGTCTGGAACTCCTGGGTTCAAGTGATCTGCCTGCCTCAGCCTCTCAAAGTGCTGGGATTACAGGTGTGAGCCACTGCACCTGGCCTATGTATGTATGTATGTATGTAGGTATTTATTTTTAATTAATTAATTTTTTTGAGTCAGAGTCTTGCTCTGTTGCACAGGCTGGAGTGCAATGGTGCGATCTTGGCTCACTGCAACCTCCGCCTCCCAGGTTCAAGTGATTCTCCTGCCTCAGCTTCCTGAGTAGCTGGGATTCTAGTTGCCTTCCACCATGGCTGGCTAACTTTTATATTTTGAGTAGAGACAGGATTTCACCATGTTGGTCGGGCTGGTCTTGAACTTCTGACCTCAAGCAATCTGACCACCTTGGCCTCCCAAAGTACCGGGATTACAGGCATGAGCCACAGTGCTAGGCCTGATCTATGCATTTAATTTAATTTTTAAAAATGAGGCCAGGCACAGTGGCTCATGCCTGTAATCCCAGCTCTTTGGGAGGCTGAGGCGGGCAGATCACAAAGTCAGGAGACGGAGACCCTCCTGGCTAACATGGTGAAACCCTGTCCTACTAAAATGCAAAAAATTAGTGGGGTGTGGTGGCACTTACCTGTAGTCCCAGCTACTCGGGAGGCTGAGGCAGGAGAATCACTTGAACCCAGAAAGGGGAGGTTGCAGTGAGCCGAGATCCTGCCACTGCACTCCAGCCTGGGTGACAGAGTGAGACTCTATCTGAAAAAAAAAAAAAAAAATGAAGCTCTGAGGACACAAATCAATTTCTCAATCAATCTGTTAATCATTTTATTCCCAGCTCCAGCACTAATTGGTTGAGAGAGCCCAGATGAGCCGTGTTTTCTCTTGGTTCAGATTGTACCTGAGTGGGGCCTGGACTCTAAGACAGCTGAGATTCCAGCAGCTGGCCCATGGATCACATCCAGCCTCCATGCTTTGTTTGGTCTGCATATCACTTTTGAAAAAAATGAATGACCATTTAAAAAATATGAATTTCCAGCCGAGTGGTGGCTCACACCTGTGATCCCAGCACTTTGGGACACCGAGGTGGGCAGATCACCTGAGGTCAGGAGGATGAAACCCCGTCTCTACTAAAAAAACAAAATTAGCCAGGCGTGGTGGCACATGCCTGTAATCTCAGCTACTCAGGAGGCTGAGGAAGGAGAATCGCTAGAACTCAGGAGGCGGAGGTTGCAGTGAGCCAAGATCACACCATTGCACTCTAGCCTAGACAATCATATCGAAACTCCATCTCAAAAAAAAAAAAAATGAGTTTCTTCTGCTGGAACAATCTGAAGATGGGGCAAGATATGGTTTTTCTCCTCCACTCTTAGAGACACATAATGTGTGCACTAGCCTGCACCACAGTGCCCTTCTCTCACAAACCCCTTTGAATGACCTGAAATGCAAGGCCCAGGTTTCTCGGTCCTGGTCCTCAGTGACACAGCTGGGAACACGGTGGAATGGATGGTGCTGAGCAGCTCAGTGATGCTGCCTGGGGCCCAGGGCTGACTGCAGCTCACACAAGCTTCTGATGGGGCCTGGCAGTGGGTGGACAGCCAGAGCCTCCATTGCACACCACACATTGTCACACTCTACCTGTGCTGTGCTTTCTCCCCTTGTTCTCCAGTGAAGCTGAGAGACTTTGAGTCAGCCGTGAACAATTTTGAGAAGGCCCTGGAGAGAGCGAAGCTTGTGCATAACAACGAGGCGCAGCAGGCCATCATCAGTGTGAGCCTTTCCACCCAGCGGGCTTCAGGTGTCGGGATTGGGGTCGGGAGGCCAGCCTCTCAGTTCCCTCTTGGCCTTCTTGGGCAGCCATTCCACAGCTGGTTTGTTGTTGTTGTTGTTGTTTTGAGGTGGAGTCTCACTCTTCTTGAGACTAGAGTGCTGTGTCAAAATCTCGGCTCACTGCAACCTCTGCCTCCCAGATTCAAATGATTCACCTTCCTCAGCCTCCCCAGTAGCTGGGATTACAGGTGCCCACCACTGCACCTGGCTAATTTTTGTACTTTTAGTGGAGATGGGGTTTCACCATGTTGGCCAGACTGGTTTGGAACTCCTGACCTCAGATGATCCGCCTGCCTCGGCCTCCCAAAGTGTTGGGATTATAGGTGTGAGCTACCGTACCTGGCCATAATTTTTGTTTTTTTGTTTGTTTTTGAGACATTCTTGGTGTGTCACCAGGCTGGAGTGCAGTGGCGCAATCTTGGCTCACTGCAACCTCTGCCTCCCGGGTTCAAGTGATTCTTCTGCCTCATCCTCCCACGTAGCTGCGATTACAAGTGTGCACTACCACGCCTGGCTAATTTTTGTATTTTTAGTAGAGATGGGGTTTCACCATGTTGGCTAAGATGGTCTCGATCTCTTGACCTCGTGATCCACCTGCCTCGGCCTCCCAAAGTGCTGGGATTACAGGATGTGAGCCACTGCACGTGGCCAATTTTCTTTCTTTTTTTTTTTTTTTTTTTTGAGATGGAGTCTTACGCTTATTGCCCAGGCTAGAGTGCAATGGCGTGATCTTGGCTCACCACAACATCCGCCTCCTGGGTTCAGGTAATTCTCCTGTGTCAACCTCCCAAGTAGCTGGGATTACAGGCATCTGCCACCATGCCTGGCTAATTTTTTGTATTTTTGGTAGAGACATGGTTTCACTGTGTTGGCCAGGCTGGTCTTGAACTCCTGACCTCAGGGGATCCACCAGCCTTGGGCTCCCAAAGTGCTGGGATTACATGCTTAAGCCACTGCACCTGGCCTGTTATTTTTACTTTTTATTTTTATTTTTAGACAGAGTGTCTCTCTGTCACACAGGCTGAGTGCAGTGGTGAGATCATAACTTACTGTAGCCTCAAACTCCTGGGCTCAGGCAATCCTTGTACCTTAGCCTGCCATCTAGATGGGACTACAGATGCATGTCACTGTCCCCGGCTAATTTTTTATTTTTGTAGAGTCAGGGTCTTACTCTGTTATTCAGGCTGATCTCAAACTCCTGGACTCCAGTGATCCTCCTGCCTTGGCCTTGCAAAGGGCTGAGACTGAGCCACTATACCCAGCCCTCATTTTCTTTTTGCTCAGAGTTTCACTCTGTCACTTAGGCTGGAGTGCAGTGGCACAATCTCAGGTCACTGCAACCTCCGCCTCCCAGGTTCAAGCAGTTTTCCTGCCTCAGCCTCCTGAGTAGCTGGGATTATAGGAGGGTGCCACCATGCTCCGCTAATCTTTTTGTATTTTTAGTAGAGACGAGGTTTCACCATGTTGGGCAGGCTGGTCTTGAACTCATGACCTCATGATCCACCTGCTTCACCCTCCCAAAGTGCTGGGATTACAGGCATGAGCCACTGCGTCCGGCCCCCAGCCCTCATTTTCTTTTATCAGCAGTCCCCAGCCTTTTTGGCATCAGGGACCAGTTTTGTGGAAGACAATTTTCCCATGGACCAGTGGTGGGGGCAGTGGTTTTGGGACGAAACTGTTCTACCTCAGATCATCAGACATTAGATTCTCATGAGGAGCGTGCAACGTAGATCCCTCACGTTTGCTGTTCACCATAGGGTTCTCTCTCCTGTGAGAATCTAACGCCACTGCTGATCTGAGAGTGGAGCTCAGGCAGTAATGCTCACTTGCTGCCCTCTGCTCACCTCCTGTTGTGTGGCCCAGTTCCTAACAGGCCATGGACCAGTCAGTGGCCCAGGGATTGGGGACCCCTGGTCTAAATTGACGTTAGGACTTGCAGTTAGGAAAATACTACCTCCTCCAGGAGACAAAAAAATCCAGTGTGATTCCTCATTCTCTTGCCTAAACCCTTTATTGCTTCCTGGGTGCCTCTGGTCCTGGCTTTTTCCCACAGGGGAAGGAAGGCATTGGGTGAGCTCTCCCCGTGGGCCTCTGCAGCCTTCCTGCTGGGCAGGTCCCAGCCTCCACCACCTTGCATTCCAGCTCCAGCCAATACCAGCTTTCTGTCTTCCTAAACAGGCTTTCTTTTTTCTTTTCTTTTTTTTTTTTTTGAGACAAGGTCCTCTGTCACCCAGGCTAGATTGCAGTGTTGTGACCATAGCGCACTACAGCCTTGATCTCTGGGCTCAAGAGATAAGAATCTGGGACTACAGATGTGGGCCACCATGCCTGGCTGATATTTTTCATTTTTATTTTTTGTAGAGATGAGCTCTCACTATACAGCCCAGGCTGGTCTTCGGCTCCCGTGCTCAAGTGATCCTCCTGTCTCACCTTTTAAAGTGTTGGGATTACAGGCATGAGCCACCACACCTGGCCTGAACAGCTTTCTTATGGCTCATAACATATGCTGTTATCTCCGCCTGGAATGTTCTAACCTTCCCTTCCTACCTCCTTCACCTGGCTAACTCCCATTCAGCCTTTAGGTGTCATCGTAGATGTCCCCTCTTCCAAGGCAGCCTTCTCTGACCCCTGAGTCTGGGTGAGGAGCCCTCTCATCTGGCTTTCACAGCCTCGCTATGTTCCCCATCAAAGTCCACGTTATGCACTTGTAATTGCCTAGACTTCCGTTGCTCAAGGAGGCAGCTGCTAGCCACATGTGGCTACTTAGAGTAAAGTTAGTTAAGAGTAGGTTGAGCACGGTGACTCACACCTGTAATGCCAGCACTGTGGAAAGCCAAGGTGGGCAGATCACTTGAGGTTAGGAGTTCGAGACAAGCCAGGCCCAATGTGGCGAAACTCTGTCTCTACTAAAAACACAAAATATTAGCTGGATGTGGTGGCACATGGCTGTAGTCTCAGCTACTCCGGAAGCTGAGGCAGAAGAATTGCTTGAACCAGGAGGCAGAGGTTGCAGTGAGCCGATATCACATCACTGTACTCCAGTCTTGGTGACAAAGCAAGACTCTGTCTCAAAAAAAAAAAAAAAAAAAAAAAAAAATTGAAAAAGTAAATAGGGCCAGGCTCAGTGGCTTATGCCTGTAATCCCAGCAGTTCAGGAGGCTGAGGGAGCAGATCACCTGAAGTCAAGAGTCTGAGCCAGCCTGACCAATGTGGTGGAACCCCATCTCTATTGAAAATACAAATATTGGTTGGGTGAAGGCGGTTCAAAAATAAATAAATAAAATAAAATAAAAAATACAAATACAGGCCGGGCGTGGTAGCTCACGCCTATAATCCCAGCACTTTGGGAGGCCAAGGCAGGTGGATCACGAGGTCAAGAGATCGAGACCATCTTGGTCAACATGGTGAAACCCCGTCTCTACTAAAAAAAATACAAAAATTAGCTGGGCATGGTGGCGCGTGCCTGTAGTCCCATCTACTCGGGAGGCTAAGGCAGGAGAATTGCTTGAACCCAGGAGGCGGAGGTTGCGGTGAGTTGAGATCGTGCCGTTGCACTCCAGCCTGGGTAACAAGAGTGAAACTCCGTCTCAAAAAAAAAAAAAAATACAAATACAAATATTAGCTGGATGTGGTGGCATGTGCCTGTAATCCCAGCTACTAAGGAGGCTGAGACAGGAGAATTGCTTGAACTTGGGAGGTGGAGGTTACACTGAACCAAGATTGTGCCACAGTACTCCAGCCTGGGCAGCAGAGCGAGACATCATCTCAAAAAAATAAAATAAAAATTCTCAGCCACACTAGCCACATTTCAAGTCATTAATAGCCACATGTGGCCTGTGGGTACTACATAATACAGATCTAGAGTATTCCCATTGTCACAGAAATGGCTTTTGAATAGTGCTGGCCTAGACTGTGTCAGGAGGCAGAGACCAGGGGTGAAACCAGGGAGGAGCTTGGAGGTGTTCTGGGCTCCCCACCCCACCCACTCCCAGTGCATCCAGGTAGCTGCACAAGCTCAGTGAAGTCTGCACACCGACCTCACAGATGCACACACACCCGGGCCTCTTCCTCCCGCTCCTGACCAGGTGGCTTCCTAAGCCCTTTCCACAGCCAAATTCCAGAGCACCCTTGGCACACAGCTGGAGTGCACGAAATATCTGCTGGAGTGAAGTAAATGGGGCCCATGTCTTCAGGGAGCTTGTGCCATGGTTGAAAGAAGCCAGATTGCATAACTTGTGGGCAGCAAAGGGGCATGGCCTTAGGGACCAGCCTGGGGTCTGCAGGCACCGGGGAAAAGGAGCAGGGACCCTGAGAAGTGAAAGCTCAGCATACTCCCAGTTAGAGGAAGACCTCATGCTGTGCTCTGATAGACAAGGGTAGAGTTGGCCCAGCCAAGGAGGAGCAAGTACACTAAAGACGTGGGAGGTCAGTGGCCAGTGCTCAGGGCCCGTGGCTGGCCGGAGAGATCCTGGCCTGGGTCCAAGAGATGAGGGGTTCCTGATGGCAGAGGTGGGCTGTTCTGAGCCCCAGACAGTCAGCACACCAGCCTGGACTTGAAGGGCTGTGGACAGCAGAGAAGTAACCTGATCTCCTTTGTGCTTTGGGAGGCAGGTTCATGGTGACCTGTTTGTGAGGACTGTGGTGAGGCTAACGCTGCCGTCTCATGGTGGAGAAATGCCCAAGAGAGTGCAGCAGGCGCAGTCTATCCTCTGCCACCACACGGCCCAGGGAAGCCCAGGCTTGTCACATTGTTGTCCTCATCATATACACCATGCTCCCAGCTCTGGCTTCCAGAGGAAGAGCACCCACCTCACTGAAGCTCTGCCAGACGCGCCGTGTGCCACATACTTTGACTCTTCCATCTGATTGCCCTGTAGACGGAGCATGGCAGTTCTGTTCAGGAAATATTCACCGAGTATAGACTGGCTCCAGGCTGCCAAGCCCAAATGTGTATGGTCATGGTCCTGGCCCGCAAGAAGATTACAGCAAAAAGGCTGGACACAGTGGCTCACATCTGTCATCCCAGCACTTTGGGAGGCTGAGGGCAGGAGGATCCCTTGGGTCCAGGAGTTCTAGACTAGCCTGAGCAACATAGCCAGACCCTGTCTCTCTCTCTCTTTTTTTTTTTAAGATGGAGTTTTGCTCTTGTTGCCCAGGCTGGAGTGCAATGGCGCCATCTCGGCTCACCGCAACCTCTGCCTCCTGGGTTCAAGCAATTCTCCTGCCGAGCCTCCCGAGTAGCTGGGACTACAGGCATGTGCCACCATGCCCAGCTAATTATTGTATTTTTAGTAGAGACGGGGTTTCACCATGTTGACCAGGATGGTCTCGATCTCTTGACCTCGTGATCCACCCGCCTTGGCTTCCCAAAGTGCTGGGATTATAGGCGTGAGCCACTGCTCCTGGCCGACCCTGTCTCTTTAAAAAAAAAAATTACAAAGCTCAAACCCTGGTTCATAACCAGCACCATAGAGGGCTAGTGGAATTCAGAGTGAGAGAGACCCAGCTGCGAGGCAGAGCTGGAGGGTTTCCCACTGCTACGGAGTGGTTTGAAGGGTTAGGGGCAGAGAGAAGGTACCTGTGACCCTCAGTGACTCCTCATGGGACCAGGCCCCTGACCCCTCACCCTCCTGGATTGGCAGCCCCAGGCAGGAAGGCTCGTGGGGAGGGACTGCGTCCAGACCCTGGAGCTGCTTGGTAGATGCCACGGCGGGTAGCTGGTCAGTGCCAACCACAGGCCTGCTGTGAGCAGGAAGGCAAGACCTGCCCTCCAGAGCTCACAGGCTGAGCTCCAGGTCCCTATGGATTGCTCACTTGAGTTGGGGAAACTGCAGACATCCTGGAAGGCCCTGCTAAGGGGCAGGCTAGCCCCAGCTTGTCGCCTTGGTGTGTTTCTGGGTCCCTTCAGCGCTGCGATGCTCAGTGTTTGCAGGTTTGGATCGTCTTTTTGCATTGACAGAAGCTTAAAGCAGCTTTAGGTAGTTCATCTAAAGGTAGAAATGAGTAGATAGACACAGCTCCCAATACATGCCTAAGGCCGAGAGCAATGTGTTTGATGGACTCACAGTCATGTATCTCCCAGACACAATTTGGCATGGATCATTCTGAGTCAGTAAGTGCAGATTAACCTGAGGGTAGGGGTTGTTCGAGGGGCCAGAGGGAACCCGAGGCTGATAAGTTTCCACCAGAGCCCTGCCTTCTGGGATTGATCTGCATGGGGAAAATTAATGGTGTAGGTGCCAAACACAGGGGTTAAGCTCCCTCTACCATCCACAGGCCTTGGATGATGCCAACAAGGGTATCATTGGAGAACTGAGGAAAACCAACTACATGGAGCATCTCAAAGAAAAGGGAGAGGCAGGTGAGTTCCTGGAAAGACAACTTTAGCATTCTCCCTCTGCTTTCTCTTCCATTAGTCCTAGACATACACGACAGCAGCTCCCCAGTCGGGGTTTGGCACTGCCTACCATGCATTCTGATTTTAGTGTCATCGGCAGCCCCAGCCTGTCTCTGGGGCAGTAGAGGGCGAGGGTTCAGCCCACCATGGGCTGGACTGTCTGACCTGAGAGCCCACTCATTTCTCTCTTCAACTGATTCACCAAGTATATGTTGAGCACTTGTCATGTACCCGGAAGGAGTCTGATTCTGGGGAGACAGAGGCCCATCCCTGCCCAGAAGGAGCCCATGGCCCTTTGGCAAGGCTGCCCAGTGGAGTTTCAGCTGCTGGGCTCCTGCATGCAGGGGCTACAGCGAGGTGGAGGTGTGCTGTCATGAGGGTACGTGCAACAGGGCATGGGCTCCTCTCAGGAGGCAGGGGAGGCTTTGACGAGGAAGAATCATCTACCTCCAGGCGGGCCGCAGTGGCTCACACCTGTAATCCCAGCACTTTGGGAGGCCGAGGCGGGTGGATCATGAGGTCAAGAGATTGAGGCTATCTTGACCAACACAGTGAAACCCCATCTCTACCAAAAATACAAAAATTAGCTGGGCATGGTGACATGCACCTGTAGTCCCAGCTTCTCCAGAAGCTGAGGCAGGAGAATCGCTTGAACCAGGGAGGTGGAGGTTGCAGTGAGCCGAAATCACGCTATTGCACTCCAGCCTGGTGACAGAGCGACTCCATATCAAAAAAAAGAATCATCTACCTCCAACTCCAAAAGAAGCCCAGAAGTTTTCCCGGAGAGAGGTGGGCATTTCCAGCAGGGAACAGCAGGGCCAAAGGCACAGAGACAATAACAGTAGCTACTCTTTTGGGGCTCTTACTGCATGCCAGGCACTGGGTTAAGCAGCAGATAGGAATGATCTTGTTGGGTCCTTACCACCCTAGGAGATGGCAGTGCTGTGGGGGAAAGGGAGGCTGAGTGAGGTGGGTGCTGTGCTGGGGCATGTAGCTAGGGAGGGGTGACTGGAGGCCCCACTCTTCCCACCTATGGCACTGCTCTCGGGCCAGCAGTGTGACAAGCAGGTGCAGAGGCTACCTGACAGCTGTGTCTTACCACATTCTTTCTCACAAGGGTTCCAGGGAGTAAAGAGGCCTTTGGCCCCTGCCTTCGGGCTCTCCTTTCCTGCAGGGAGGGAGGGAGAGAAGGAGGAGCAGAAGATGGCTGAGCAGCCCTGCCCCACTGGACAAGGGCCTAGAGGAAAGGGGTGTTGAGAGCTGTAGCCAACCTCCATTCAGGCAAAGTAGTTAGAGGCATACAGTGGTTTTCAGTCTTGGGCAGTCTGGCTCTAGAACTCATGCTTTGGCCATAGTGCCACACTGTTGCTAGTGACACAGACAGCCTTTTCCTGCCCCAGTCTGTGGTACTCTCACTCCAGCCAGACTGCAGTCAATGGAGCCAGGGTTGAGGGCCCAGGAGGACACAGCCCAGGCTGAAATCTTCTGTGGTCCAGGCAAGGCAGTGGGAGGTTTCTGGACATCTGAGCAGCCAGATGACAGCCCTCCCTCGCTTCCTCCTTTCCTTCCTTCCTTCCTTTTGAGATGGACTCTCCCTCTGTCACCCAGGCTGGAGCAGTGGTGCAATCTCAGCTGACTGCAACCTTCGCCTCCCAGGTTCAAGCGATTCTCTTGCCCCAGCCTCCTGGGTAGCTGAGACTACAGGAGAGCGCCACCATGCCCAACTAATTTTTCTATTTTCAGTGGAGACAGGGTTTCGGCATGTTGGCCAGGATGGTCTCGATCTCTTGACCTCCTTATCCGCCCACCTCGGCCTCCCAAAATGCTGGGATTACAGGTGTGAGACATCGTGCTCGGCAACAGCCCTTTATTATCCAGCAGCTGCTCTGTGGTGGCTGGACCCCCTCAGAGGGACTCTGTCACCGCCCCCACGTGGTCTTCGAGCCGCTCTGAGAAGCCACAGGAGCAACAGCTGCTGGCAGGGAAGCAGCGGACTCTCCAGTCTCCCCCACCCTGACCTGCGTCCTTGCGCCTGCAGAACTGCTGGGCATTTCCCTCTCACAACAGCAGGTGGCAGCATTGCATCTGTTTTCACCTCCAAAGTGCTGTGACCCCTGAGACCCGAGACCCTCTGCAGGCACCTCAGTAACTAGTGGTTTCCAGGAAGATAATGTAAGGGAGATAGAGAAGGGGATGTGAGTTTTCTCCATACCTGATAAAAAACATTTAGGAGCAAGGATCTCTTTGCTTGTAAAATAGCTCTCTAGCTGAACTTTTTGTTAGTAGCCTGTATTTTTTTAAAATAGGAAACCTATCTTTTTTCCTATGTTCTATACTTTCATAGGAAAGCTCCCAACAAAAAAGGAATGTGCTTCCCAGGGACAAAGAGAAGGTGTCAGAATGAAGATGCTGGAGAAAACCCTGCTGTCATTTTCCAGCACCTATGCTACTTCTTGTAGGGAAAAGAGAAGATGCTCTGGGGTCAGACTGTCCTGGGTTCAGATTCTGTCTCTGCCATTTGTTACTTGCAGCGTGACTACTCTGTGATTTCCTTTCTTTTTTTTTCTTTGTTTTCTTTTTTTTTTTCTGAGACAGAGTCTCGCTCTGTCACCCAATCTCCACTCACTGCAACCTCTGCCTCCCGAGTTCAAATAATTCTCCTGCCTCAGCCTCCTGAGTAGCTGGGATTACAGGTGGCCACCACCATGCCCAGCTCAATTTTTGTATTGTTAGTAGAGACAGGGTTTTACCATGTTGACTAGGCTAGTCTCGAACTCCTGACCTCAGGTGATCCTACCTCAGCCTTCCAAAGTGCTAGGATTACAGGGGGTGAGTCACCACACCTTTTTTTTTTTTAAATGGAGTCTCCCTCTGCCACCCAGGCTGGAGTGCAGTGGCACAATCTCGGCTCACTACAGCCTCTGTCTCCCAGGTTCAAGTGATTCTCCTGCCCTAGCCTCCTGAGTAGCTGGGACTACAGGATCACACCACTGTACCTGGCTAATTTTTTTCTTTTTTTTGAGACAAGAGTTTTGCTTGTTGCCCAGGATGGAGTGCAATGGCACAATTGTGGCTCACTGCAATCCCCACCTCCCAGGTTCAAGTGATTCTCCTGCCTCAGCCTCCCGAGTAGCTGGGATTACGGGTACCTGCCACCATGCCCAGCTTATTTTTATTTATTTTCTTTTTGAGATGGAGTTTTGCTCGTTGCCCAGGCTGGAGTGCAGTGACACGATCTCGGCTCACTGCACCCTCTGCCTCCCAGGTTCAAGTGAGTCTCGGACTACAGGCACGCGCCACCATGCCCTGCTAATTTTTTGTAGCTTTAGTAGAGACGGGGTTTCACCATGTTGACCAGGATGGTCTTGATATCTTGACCTCGTGATCCACCCGCCTTGGCCTCCCAAAGTGCTGGGATTACAGGCGTGAGCCACTGCGCCCGGCTATTTTTGTATTTTTAGTAGAGACGGGGTTTCACCTTTTTGGTGAGGCTGGTCTCAAACTCCTGACCTCAAGTGATCTACCTGCCTTGGCCTCCCAAAGAGCTGGGATTACTGTGGCCGGGAACCACAGTGCCCGGCCATGTAATTTCTATCTATCAGTCTCAGGTCCCTTGACTGCAAACTCAAATCAATGACACTGCGCATTTTCATGATGACCAGATGGGATAAGCTATACAGCCCTCACATGATGCGTAGGACAGAGCTGGGCTCAGTCAATGATGGTTCACTTTCTCTGCTTTTGGAAAGGTGCGCTGTCACACCAATTTAAAGAGCTGGTGAGAACAGTCATTTTCAGTGCCTCTCCCTCATCTGCTTCTCAAAAGCACAGGCCTCCACAGAGATGAACAACTTCTTTCTTTTTTTCTTTTATGGAGACAGGTCTCACTCTGTCACTCAGGCTGGAGCACAGTGGCTCAATTTTGGCTCACTGCAGCCTCAACCTCTTGGGCTCCAGGGATTCTTCTACCTTAGCCTCTGGGTAGCTGGGACCACAGACACCAACCACCACGCCTTGCTTATTTTTTGTATTTTTAGTACAGATAGGGTCTTACTGTGTCATCCAGGCTCGTCTGGAACTCCTGGCCTCAAGGGATCCACCTGCCTCAGCCTCCCAAAGTGCTGGGACTACAGGTGTGAGCCACTGCCCCCGGCCTGACATGAATAAACTTTTATGTTTCTTCCCTCCTTTCTCTTGTTTTTCAGAAGCTTCACTGTATGAAGATAGAACAGTAATAACAACAGAGGAGGACAGGAGGAGAGAGAGAGATGAGCCCGAGAAGGTGGTACAGCAGTGGGACCATTTTGAGGATGAGAAAGAGACGGATGAGGACGATGAGGCTTTTGCTCTGCAGAGTACAACAAGCGGACAGCACAGAGTGGAAGCAGGAAAAGCCAGAAGCAATTTGGGAGAAGTTGCCAAGGGCCTGTCAGGAGAATTAGGCACGAGATCAGAAGAAACAGGCAGGAAGCTACTAGAAGCTGACAGAAGAGAATCAAGAGAAATTTACAGGAGGTCTTCAGGAGAATTAGACCAAAGACTCTCAGGAGAATTCAGCAGACAGGAACCAGAAGGACTAAAGGAACTTTCAGAAGTTGGCAGAAGAGAGCCAGAAGAACTGGAAAAAACACAATTGGGAGAAACAGGAGAAATGAAAAAAACAGAAAATGAGATGAAAAAAGGAATATGAATGAAACCATCGGTAGGGATGAGGATCAGGAAGCTGGTGTCCAGAGGGATCATCGGATCTGATTAAACTGGATTTTCAAGCAATTTATCTGTAATAGGAAAAATGAGGGTTACACTTCTGCTGCTTTCTGTCACTGTTTTACCATTAAATAAGTGTCTTTCACTCTTGCAAACCCTGAGTCTGTCACTTTGCCTTTTCACCCCCAACCACTCTCAGAAGAGCCTCCTGGAAGAATCGAGAAAGGTGCTAAGAAGAAAGGGTTTCAGGAGGGTGAGCTTCAGGGAATGATAAGTCACAGGGAGGAGAAGAGGGGAAGGCCTGTGGCTTGGCTCAGACACAGAGGTGCTTCCCTGACACCCACGACTGGCTGAGTCCCTCCAGTGCTTAGGACACCAGCACGCTTTACAGATGGAACAATGTTGGGGTGGTCCCAGCTATCCAGGTGGGAGAATGCCCCAAGTCAGAACCAAGAGAATGCTGGGGCTGAGGCCAAAGAACAGGGCAGTAGCCTGGGAGTCGGAAGGGCAGGCAGACTCTGCTTCTGACACCTCTGGGTGGCACAATCAGGTAAATCAGGCTCTCCAAGCTTGCCTCTGTGAATAATGGGATGCTTGCCTTGGGTTGCTGCGAAGACTGAGCGCTTAGCACAGCACCTGGTACACAGGAAACTCAAAAGTCCAACCGAGCTCCCCGTGGCTTCACAGAGGATGTGGCATCTCAGAGGATGTTAGGGTTTCACTCCGTTACTTAACTGCCCCTTGGCTACTGCCATCCTGGTCTGTCTCCACAACTCCTAGAAGGAAGGGTAGGGGCTGAGACTGACTTTCGGCTGGCACAGGGCCCGGACTAGTGAGGCCAGTGAGCCATTTCAGATGCAGCGTTTACCGTAGTGTCAGTAACCTGCATGATAATACTTTAATCCAATATGGTAAAAAAATTTTCGATTAATGCAAAAGTCCATGATGAATAAAATATCAAAACTTAAGGACAGAATCCGACCTTGCACAACTCACTCACTTCCAGCTAATCCACGGGAGCGGGGAGGGTGACCGAGTTACCCCTCAACACGCAGAAGAAGGAAGCGGCCGCCCAGTTGGCGGTCACAGTGGGTGGGTGCGCGCGGGGGCGAAGGCGCGCGCAGGGTCGGGACCCGGGGCGGGTGGGCGCGCAGGGGGCGGGGTCCGCCGGAGCTCCCGCGCGTGGCGGGAGTTTCGGGTTTCGATTCGCCGCGCCTGCGCGCAGAGGGGCCGTCCCGCTCCGCCCACCGGGCTATGTAAAGCGGCCGGGTTCGGGTCGCGCCACAGCCGGACTGCCGCGTCCCTCCGCGTTGGCGGGCGGCCCCAGAGCGTTGGTGCCGGCAGAGGCGGCGGCGACGGCGGCGCCCCTCCTCATCATGGTGAGCGGCCGGGCGGGGCTGGGCACGGGGTAGCACCGGAGCGGGAAACGAGTGTCGGCGCCCGTTTTGCAAACCAGGACCCGGGGCTTCCGGCTCGACTGCCAGTTTTCTTGGTACTCGGGGAAGCCCGGAGGTCGGTGAGAAGCGGGGTTACTTTCGGGGCCCGGAGAGGCCGCTGGGGAGGGAAACGGTGGCGTTTCTGAGGAGGGGAAACGAAGAAGCTGCTGCGCCCCTGGGAGCCCCAGCTGGCGGGTGGGCCTGGGCCGGGGGCTGCGGGAGCCCGGGAGCTGCTCCCGACCCCGCTCAGTCCTGCGCTGGGGCAACCGTTTCGCGCCCGCACCCCGGGCCACGTCTCTTCACACGGAACAGCTGCCCCGCGCCCGGGTGCGCGCGGGAGGCGGAGCCAGTTCAGAGGAGGAGACGCTTTACAGTAAAAGCTGCTGTCTCTTGTGGCTTCTAGCAGACAGGAAAACAAGTAGCTCCGAGAGGGGCTGCTGACACACAGCACGGTGGCGGTCAGAGCTGGACCCAATTGCAGGTGCCCTGTGCTGCCCCGGCCTGGGCAGGCACAAAGACCACGACTTTGTGGGGCCGGGAGGGGGCAGAGGAGGAGGTGGCAGGCTCGGTGAAAGAGGGCCTTTGTCCAGAGCGCTCCTGCCCTGCCCCCCACCAGCCTTTCTGTGGGACCATTGTCCCCGCATCCCAGACAAGAGAGTATTATCTGTTGCGGCCATTGTTGGGGGAAGGGAGACAGTCTTGGGGTAACCCTTCTCCACTCCCAGCCCTTCTCTGTGCACTCAGCCGGGGCAGCTGTGGCTTGGCCCAGAAACAGAGACCCCCCACCTCCAAAGAGGGCGTCCTTAGTAGGTGCCAAGCATATAAGAGCGAGGCCAATCCCAACCCGCAGGCTCCCGGCGCGCCTTGCATGCCTCCAGCACGTTTTCCTTTCCGAGGTGGCAGCAATGGGGAGAGCGCGCGCTTAGCAGAGCTTCAGACAGGCTTCCCTCTCCCTCCTCCACGACCAGAAGCGGACAGGTGCTCCCGGGAAAGGGACAAAGGTCCAGCACTGCCTCGCTTGGGAAGGCGTCCACAACCAGGCCAGGGACTAGGGGTGCGAGGCTGGCGGGGAGCCCGCGAAGGTCCTGGGCTGACATTTCTTCCCCTCCTTACACAGAACAGAGGCTTCTCCCGAAAAAGCCACACATTCCTACCCAAGATCTTCTTCCGCAAGATGTCATCCTCAGGGGCCAAGGACAAGCCTGAGCTGCAGTTTCCCTTCCTTCAGGATGAGGACACGGTGGCCACGCTGCAAGAGTGCAAGACGCTCTTCATCTTGCGCGGCCTGCCAGGAAGCGGCAAGTCCACGCTGGCACGGGTCATCGTAGACAAGTACCGTGATGGCACCAAGATGGTGTCGGCTGATGCTTACAAGATCACCCCCGGCGCTCGAGGAGCCTTCTCCGAGGAGTACAAGCGGCTGGATGAGGACCTGGCTGCCTACTGCCGCCGCCGGGACATCAGAATTCTTGTGCTAGATGACACCAACCACGAGCGGGAACGGCTGGAGCAGCTCTTTGAAATGGCCGACCAGTACCAGTACCAGGTGGTGCTGGTGGAGCCCAAGACAGCGTGGCGGCTGGACTGTGCCCAGCTCAAGGAGAAGAACCAGTGGCAGCTGTCGGCTGATGACCTGAAAAAGCTGAAGCCTGGGCTGGAGAAGGACTTCCTGCCGCTCTACTTCGGCTGGTTCCTGACCAAGAAGAGCTCCGAGATACTCCGAAAAGTGGGCCAGGTCTTCCAGGAAGAGCTGGGGAACCACAAGGCCTTCAAGAAGGAGTCGCGACACTGTAGGTGGTGGGGTCGGGCCTTAATCGTAAGCCCACCTTGCGGGGCACAGGGCTCTGTGGGCATAGGACCATCATTGTACTCATGAGGATGAGGCACGAAGCACAGGAGGCAGAGGGAGGCTCAACGGGAGGGGGCAGGGCAAGCGGGGCGTCCCAGTGGTGGCTTGGGGAGTTGGCAGCACAGTGGGGCTTCCCAGAGTGCCTTTCCTCCCACCACACCTTTCCTTCTGGGACTCTTCTCTCCACCTCCGTCCTCCCAGCCTGGAGCTAGACCACTGTCTTACTGTCTTATCTTGGAGGTGGGAAAAACAAATTACTGTAGTAACAGGAGATACGACCTCTTCTAACTTAACCTTGGAGAATCCAGCCCAGTGTTTTCCAACTCATTTTTAGCAGCAGAATCGTGTTCCCCCCCACACACAAAAATGACATGAAATATTGTGGCTTCACTGGGGATGGTTCTCAGGCCTTGGGCTATTTGATTTACTCATAGGTTTGTGGCATGTTACAGCTTCAGAGGACATGAGTCTCACACCTACACCAAAAGCCCTGTCTTCAGATGGGAACACAGGCCCAGGAGGGATGTGGGATTTAAGGGCTGGAACCCTGGACTCTGGCCACTCTAGCAGGGTTCTCTCTTGGCATGGGCTTTTTGGGTTTGGGATAAAAACAGGTCCCAGTGGCTCTCCTGCAGTGGCCTGTTGGATAACTGTCACCCACAAATCCGTCTATATTGCCTTTAGGCCATTTCTGGTTGCCCCCAATTTTAGTTGTTTATTTAGACACAGGGTCTTGCTCTGTTGCCCAGGTGGGAGTGCAGTGGTGTGATCTCGGCTCACTGCAACCTCCACCTCCCAGGTTCAAGCAGTTCTCCTACTTCAACCTCCCAAGTAGTTGGGACTACAGGTGTGTACCACAACCATGCCTGGCTAATTTTTGTATTTTGAGTAGAGACAGGGTTTCATCATGTTGGCCAGGCTGGTCACGAACTGCTGACCTCAGGTAATCCAGTCACCTTGGCCTCCCAAAGTGCTGGATTACAGGCCTGAGCCACCGTGCCCAGCTGCCCCCAATTTTAGATGATCTTCATACCTGAAATAGCCCCACTCTGGTTTGTTGACATTGTGTATATTGCACAGAAGCAGGGAATTTGTGCCTGTGTGGGTTCTCAGATAACTTTTTTCTCAGCTCCTAAACTTGAGCTGTAGTATTTGCGGTGATATCATCCAGGAGCAAGCCCTGTACCTGTGAGCTGGTGGCTCTGTCCTAGAATGACTGCTGCTCAAAGTTGCTTTTACTTTTATTTTTTAACTGATTTTGAGACACAGTCTCATTCTGTTGTCCAGGCTGGAGTGCAGTGGTGCAATCTCAGCTCACTGCAACCTCCATCTCCTGGGTTCAAGTGATTCTCCTGCCTCAGCCACCCAAGTAGCTGGGATTACAGGTACCCACCATCACACCCAGCTAATTTATGTGTTTTTAGTAGAGACAGTTTCACCATGTTAGGCAGGCTAGTCTCAAATGCCTGACCTCAAATGATCCACCCTGCCTTGGCCTCCCAAAGTGCTTGGATTACAGGTGTGAGCCACCTCGCCGGGCTTGAGAATTTTAACTTCTTACAGCTCTAAAGTTGCTATTAGTGTGACCAGCTAATGAATGAATGAGCTATGTGGGTTGCTGGAAAGTTGATGCCCAGCCTATTTTTTCTTTCTTTTTTTTTTTTTATTTTGAGACAGTCTTGTTCTGTTGCCCAGGCTGGAGTACAGTGGTGTGATTTCAGTTCACTGCAATCTCTCTGCCTCAGCCTCCTGAGTAGCTGGGACTATAGGTACCTGCCACCACACCTGGCTAATTTTTTGTATTTTTAGTAGAGACAGGGTTTCACTTTGTTAGCCAGAAAGGTCTCCATGTCCTGACTTATGATCCGCCCGCCTTGGCCTCCCACAGTACTGGGATTACAGGTGTGAACCACCATGTCTGGCCTACTTTATCTTTAAATGAAAAACTGGAATTCTTTTCTGCCCAGGGTTACAGCATGAGAAATGTAATGGGCCAGCAAGGCTGCTCTCAGGAGCGGCCTTCCTCTCCTGTGGAGGGTGAGACATCTTCACAGGGGCTCAACTTAGAATATAACAGAAAAACTCTGAAGACAACCACAGGTGTGGCTTCTGGAAATCAAAATCACAGATACTCCATGCCTCTTTGTGTCTTCCAGCCCCATAATGTCACCCAATTATAGCCCAAGACCCTTCTTGTACCAGGAGGCCCCCTACAGGCTCTCATCCCCCAAACAGGCCTGCAAGGTGTGTATTCAACTGTTGGTGACCCTGTGACTGCTTGTCCATTTGGATCTCTGAATGAAATGGGGCACTAATGATAGTTCCCTGGCAGTCCTGGGAACACTGGGGTGTGCGGTCGCCCTAAACTGTTATGCTGGATTGATAGGGTCGGTCAGTTGCCCCAGGCTGATGGCTGGTAAGCAGCAGGGCTAAGATGTTCACTGTGTTCTGGCTGTTTCCACAGTACCATGTTGTTCCCAGCACTCTGTTCTTTCCACCCCACTTCCCATGACTTGTTTCCCCTTTGAGATGTGGGACTGGTAAATCTCAGATTCTCTTGGCCTGTACTGCCTGCCTCTGTTACAAATGCCTTAGAGTTTGGGGAAGAGGTAGAAAGATCTATACAATAGAAAGCCGGAGAATTTTAACTTTTTTTTTTTTTTTGAGACATTCTCACTTTGTTGCCCAGGCTGGAGTGCAGTGGCGCAATCTTGGCTCACTGCAACCTCTGCCTCCTGGGTACAAGCAATTCTCTGTCTCAGCCTCCTGATTAGCTGGGGTTACAGGCACCCACCACCATGCCTGGCTAATTTTTTTGTATTTTTAGTAGAGAGGGGGGTTTCACTATCGGCCAGGCTGGTCTTGAACTCCTGATCTCATGATCCACCTACCTTGGCCTCCCAAAGTACTGGGATTACGGGCGTGAGCCACCATGCCTGGCCTGAGAATTTTTAACTTTTTTTTTTTTTGAGATGGAGTCTCGCTCTGTTGCCTGGGCTGAAGTGTGGTGTCAGGATTTCAGCTCACCATAAACTCCAACGCCCAGGTTCAAGCAATTCTTCTGCCTCAGCCTCCCTGGTAGCTGGGATTACAGGCGCCTGCTGTCATGCCCAGCTAACTTTTTTTGTATTTTTAGTAGAAGGGGGGTTTCACCATCTTGGCCAGGCTGGTCTTGAACTCCTGACCTCGTGATTCACCCGCCTTGACCTCCCAAAGTGCTGGAATTATAGGCGAAAGTCACCACGCCCGGCCTGAGAATTTTAACTTCTTACAGCTCTAAAGTTGCCTTTAGTTTGAACAACTGACGAATGAATGAGCTCTGTGGGTTGCCGGAAGTGTTTTGCTCTGGGCCTCTGTGGTCCTGGTGGCAGGCATTGGTATGCCTCTACTCCCCTGCCCTGACTGCACCGTTTTTCTCCCGGCAGTTTTCTCTGGGGATGAGACCAGGGAGAAGATTGATCTGGTCACCTACTTTGGGAAGAGACCCCCAGGTGTGCTGCACTGCACAACCAAGTTTTGTGACTACGGGAAGGCCCCCGGGGCAGAGGAGTACGCTCAACAAGATGTGAGTCTTCCCCAGGGTCAACATGGCAGAGGTGGGGGGTGGGGGCAGCAGCATCTTCTGCAGATGGGTACAAGTGACAGGCAGGGACCAAAAACCAGATGTCAGCTCAAGAAAAATGGCATCTCCTCCTAGCTCCCCTGTCCCCAGGCATATTTGCATAGACCTCAGCTTCAGGTTCTAAGGAGCCTGCTGCAGCAGTACCAGCAGCCTGTGCATTCGCCTGCCCCCAGGCGCCTTCTCCTTCTGCAGATTCATGGAGAATGCTGGTCCACAGTGGGCTCCTGCTCTGGCCCTGTTACCTTCCAAAGGCTAGGAGTCCCTTGCCCCTAGTCCTGAGGCCTGGCCTTAGAGTGAGGGAGTGTCATAGGAGAGTGAAGCTTATTGGCTAATAGGGTACTAGGCATTTCTGCACCACACAGCCGGCACCTTACGCCCACAGCCACAGGTGATGGTGATGCTTGAATGCCAGGCATGTCTCAGATCTGCAGTCTCCAACCTCCTCCAAGTGTCCAACCCCAAGCCCACCCTCCCACTTCTCTGCGTAGGTTATTACAGTTGTTTAACTGGAGCATCCTCCCAAATGGAAGCTCCCCTAGGGCAAGTGTTTAAGTTTCGTTGATTCCAGCACCCCAGCATAGTGGAATGAATGTGTAACCCCTGCTGCTATCATCCCTAACCATGCTTTCATTTACCATTTATTTATTAAGCACCCATTTCATGCCAGACACTGTTGGGACAAGCAATTGTGAGCAAAAAGAGAGACGCTTTTTTATGCTGAGATGGGATGGGCTCTCTCAAAGAATCAGATAGAAGCAGACATATCATCAGATGTGAACCAAAGTGTAAGAGCAGGTTCTGATCAAGGGCAAGCCTGACCTCACCTTGCGTTCCAGGGCACTGCTTGGGCCCCAGGGGAAGCTGAGTGGTGCCAATAGTGGCAGCAGCTGCATGTGCACACATCCTTGTAGGCTCTTCACCTAGTCACTCCCATAACCACATTAACTCTGAGGCAAGCTCTAGTTCTCCCTGTTTTACAAAGAGGTCAGCCAGCCTGTTGAGGCCGGAAGCAAGTATGCAGGGAGCTAGGCTCCCTGGGGAAGTCCGGCTCTCCCTGCGTGGCCTTGTCTGAGTGCCTTGGCGTTTCTCACTTGAGCCTGAGCCGTGCCTGTGGAAGGTGCATGGTGTTTGTGGATGCTGGGCCTATACCTGACCCTTGCTCAGCTGTGCTCACTCACATTAGACTTCCCCTTCTCTCCTCCAGGAGGGACCCTCCTTGGGTCACCTATTCAAGAGGCCACCATATTTAGCTTGGACCCCTCTTTCTCCCTCTCCCCAGGTGTTAAAGAAATCTTACTCCAAGGCCTTCACACTGACCATCTCTGCCCTCTTTGTGACACCCAAGACAACTGGGGCCCGAGTGGAGTTGAGCGAGCAGCAGCTGCAGTTGTGGCCGAATGATGTGGACAAGCTGTTGCCCACTGACAACCTGCCGCGGGGAAGCCGTGCTCACATCACCCTTGGCTGTGCCGCTGACGTGGAGGCTGTGCAGACAGGCCTTGACCTCTTAGAGATTGTACGGGAGGAGAAGGGAGGCAGCCGAGGCGAGGAGGTGGGTGAGCTAAGCCGGGGCAAGCTCTACTCCTTGGGCAAGGGGCGCTGGATGTTGAACCTGGCCAAGAACATGGAAGTCAGGGCCATCTTCACGGGATACTATGGGAAAGGCAAACCCGTGCCCACACAGGGCAGCCGGAAGGGGGGTGCCTTGCAGTCCTGCACCATCATATGAGTGTTCTTACCACCATGTATGCCCCTTGCTCTTTAGAGAGGGAAACGTGTCCTGCTTGATCCTTGTTTTGTGACTTTTTTACTCAAAGTTAACCTACCTATAACTTTTTAAAAACTTGTAAAATAACTGACCCACTCTCCCTGTCCTGCCCTCTTTCCGTCTAATGCTCGTACTCCCAACACAAGGTGGGGAGGGAGGCACCATTCAGGAACCTGGACTAAACCTAACACAGCTGGGCCAAGCAGGCATGGGGCCACAGCCAGGACCCCGAGCCCTACTTCCAGGTTCCGGTGTTAGCTCAGCCCCAGCCCAGAGCCAGAGTGGGGAGACACCTGAGCCCTACAAAACTCACTGACTGGAGGCAGGGGGTCTGGGGGTAGTTTTCCACGGTCACAGAGAACTAGTGGTGGCCTTGAGAAGGGGAGGACCTCTAGGCTTTGATTCCATCATCTTCTCTTTATTCTTTGTTTTTAGAGACAGGGTCCTGCTATGTTGCCAAAGTTGGAGTGCAGTGGTGCAATCATGGCTGACTGCAGCCTCAACTCCTGGGCTCAAGTGATCCTCCTGAGTGATCCCATCTTTTTTCTTTTTTTGACACCGAGTCTTGCTGTGTCCCCCAGGCTGGAGTGGGAATGCAGTGGTGTGATCTTAGCTCACTGAAACCTCTGCCTCCCAGGTTTAAGTGATTCTCCTGCTTCAGCCTCCTGAGTAGCTGGGATTCTAGGCATGTGCCACCATACCCAGCTAATTTTTTGTATTTTTAGTGGAGACAGGGTTTCACCATCTTGGCCAGGCTGGTCTTGAACTCCTGACCTCGTGATCCAGTAGTCTCAGCCTTCCAAGTGCTGGGATTACAGGTGTGAGCCACTGTACCCGGGTGAGTGATCCCATTTCTTAATCAGTGTAGCCCCAGGAAGGCTGGGGCTATTTACCAGGGTAGAAAAAGGAGCCTACCTCCCACCTTTGGTTCTAAGTTCCTGCCCCATCCCCTTCACACCATAACTAGGTAACAGTTTGATAACTAGAGAAGAAAGCAGAACAGTTAAGCAGCTGCCACATCCCTGCCGGCTGGGGCCTCACTCCAGGAAGGGGCCAGACTGACCCTCCTTTCCAGTAGCCTGGCTCTGCTGTGGTGAGGAAGCTCCAGTCCTGCTGTCCGCCCAGCCCATCTTGCCTCCATGGTGCCTCTGGAGGCCTCTGGGCCTCCTCTAACGGGGGCTCGTGGGCACCAAAAACCAATGGAGTAGAGCCCTGGCTGGTAAGGCCACCAGTTGTTTCTGGGAAGGAGTTTCTAATACTGGTCCATGTGCTGTGGTTCCTGGGGTGCCCTCCACTGTCCTCAGTTCAGTAACTGGGCCTTGCTAATCAGGTTGTCACTCAACAAAAGTGCTTCGGATTTAAGTTACTATCCTGGCTTTGCCCAACCTCAGCAACTTGTAAGACTGATAATGAAATAAATCATGTTAATCCTAGCTGTGTGCAGTCTCTCTTACCCTTCTGTGCCCAGCTCAGTCTTCCCTGGGGCTAGGGCTGGGTGTATTAGGACTGGCTTTGTCCCACAGCTTGGGGCCATCGGTCCTGTCTCCCCTCTGCTGGCCGGGCACAGCTGTGGCGAGGTTGGGCAGCTGAACAGTGTTGGCTTTCATGAGGAGGCAGAAAGCAGAGGCTGGCCTCAGACTCACACAGAAGGTGGGGGTTGACTGGGTACAAGGGACATGAAGCACAAAAGCCTCTCATACCCTGTTAATGAGGGAACCAGGCCCACAGGTGTCCCCAGCCCCCTGGATCAGAAAGGTCTCTCAGTAAGACCTGAAGCTCCTAGTATGGGTTTCTCCCAGTTCTCTAGGGAAGGCCACCCAAAGGTCAGTGCAACTTCAGGCACCAGGTAAGACCTAACATTTGAGTCCCTTCCAAGGCTGTCAGAGGCCTAGCCAGCCACATGGGAAACATCCCAGGCCTGACTTGGGCATCATTTCACCATGGTAAGACACCAGCCGGGGAAGACTAGAAAGAAAGGGGCAGGAACTCAGAAGAAGAGAAATCCTAAGTTATCTTTCTAGGTCAAGGCCTGTCCCTGGCCATCTCTGAGCTTTAGCTAGAGCTTCAAGTGTCTGCCTAGAGCTCCCGAGAAAGCAACTCACCTTGAACACCATGCTTGATAGGACAGTATGGCGCATGCCGCTGCATCCGTGAGCAGTGTCTCCTGCATGCAGAGAGGGAGTGGAGAAAGCTAGGGACTTTTGCTAAAAATAGCTGATTGGCCGGACCAGAGCTCTGGAGCCACCTGTCCCACTTCAAAAGGGTCTGGGGGTCAGGAGGCAGGGTTATTTCTGTCTACCGTCTCCCTCAAACCCACATTGCAACAGGAACTAAGAGCCTTTGTAAGTTAAACTGCCCTGTCTAGGTCAGTACCCACCTGAGCTCCTGGGTGAGCTTTGGAAGCACATGGCTTCTAGTGACTTCTGGGGCCCCCACTGTCAAGCGAGCATGCTTTCTCAACTCACTTCATGGCTGATGTCAGGCTGGGCCCAGGGGCACAGCCAGGGCCTGCCTAGCACTCACACGCTGGATAGGTCTGGGAGAGGCAGAGCAGCACCACCTGCCACCAGGCTCAGGGTCCACAGCCCTCAAACAGCAGCTTGCTGCACCCCAAGTCCAGGTCGGGCTCAGCTCTGGCTCTCAGACTCTGGAGTGACACAAAGCAGCTGCAACAGCAAAGGGCCAGAAAGGGCCAAAACATTTTATTCTCTTCTTTTTTTTCCTTTTTTAATAAAGTTAAACAGAAAACAAAAATTCACAAGCTGCCTCCCTGTCCACCCCCCGCCTCCCTCCCCTGCCCGCAGTCTTCAGCATTGGTTCCCTTTGCTTCACCCACTCACAGACACAGGGCATCCAACTGAGAAAACGAAACTGCTCTAAGTAAACGGAGACGCGATGAAGGGAGGAGGTGAACTGTTTCCACATTCAAGATTAAATTGAGCAAATCTGCATTTTCTGGGTTCTAGGTGGTTGCCCTTCATTAGCCAAACTGAAAAAAGAAATTCCCTGGACCAGATGCTGAAAGGGAAAAGAAGGGCTGGTTAGTTGGCTGTGGATTTTCTAGGGAAGATCACTTTGCCCTGATTATGGAAAAGTCTTCAAGGGCTGCTTCAAACTCAGAGAGAAACTTTATGGGTATCAAACAGCCTAGGCTGTTTTGGGGTCCAAATGGGAGCCAGTGACCACATTATACATGGGTAGCTTCTGAACACCTTTGCTCTTGCAGAGAAGCCTCCCTGGTCCTGCAGAGATGCAGTGGCTAAAGGTCCCAAGGCCTTGGGAACCTTCCTGTCTTCATCCTCAGCAATAGCTGAGTGGACAGATGCCCTGCTAGATGAGAATTCAGTCGCCTCCACTCATGGGCCCCTCTGAGCTGCCTAAGTGGCAGTGAGTGTGCTGGTTTGTGATCTCGGAACTCCCAAGAACAGCAGGCCTACCTACCTTCAAAGCTAAAGCCCCCAGGACCGCCGAAGAATGCCTTGAAGATATTGTTTGCATCAAAATCTGTATAGCAGGGCAAGTAACATGGAAGGGAAGAAAAGGTGAAAAGATTAGAAAGGTCTAGAGAACTGATGACACAGAACAGATCTCCAAAGCTGTCCCAGATAGTCTCACTTCCCTCCTTTCCCAACACTTCAGACTGTACGTGAGCAAACCTGCACAAAACATGCTACGTGATTCCTCTCCCAGGACGTGTTCCCTTCCCCTTCCAAGTGCTGCCCCAAAGAAAAGCTTTCTCTGCTTCAGCTTGCTTCGCTGGGCTGTTTTCTCAACAAATGGGAAAGCCATTTGCACTTACACAAGACTCTCCCCATACTCTGCCTCCCTATAATGCCGGAGTGGCTACTAAAAAGGATAAAATGTATCACTTAAAATGTTACCAAAAATAAATAAAAGAACAAGATCTAGGATTTACTGTATTTGAGTCCATGTCTTTTACACTGTAGACTCTGCTTAAAAAAAAAAAAGCTATGGTTTATTAGCTGGGCATGGTGGCTCACACCTATAATCCTGGCACTTTGGGAGTCTGAGGTAAGAGGACTGCTTGAACCCAGGAGTTGCACCCCAAAGCGCACCCCAGCCTGGGTGACAGAGTGAGATCCTATCTCAGTAACAACAACAACAAACCAGCAAAAACACCTACTAGGTGCTAGTCATGGTGCTGGGTACTTTGCATACATTATACTACTTAATCCTAGTAACAATTTGTCAGGGTCAGTATCATTCCCAATTATATTCAACAAAACATAAGTAGGTGGTTTAAGTAACCTGGCCAAGATCACAGGCAGAAAGCAGCAGACCAGGAAAATCCAACTCCTGCCTGACTCGTTCTGTGTGCTCTCTGCGAGGCCACAGCACGTCCGGTGGCCCCATCCCTGAGTGACTTCCCGAGCTGCACAGAAGGACTGATCTCCACCAGGTGATCCCACAGCCACCTCATGTCCAGAGTTTTTCTGCTGGCATCTGTGAATCCTCCTGGGCTCCCCTGCTCAGTGAATGACCCCAAGAGTCAGCTATGCCTAAGTCACTCTACCCAGCACATCTAAGCAGCAACCAACTCCTGCTGAATCTCCCACTATCTCCTGACTGTCCTCCAATCATTTCCTACCTTTGGTGTCTTCCTTCCATCTCCATCCTCCTTACTCCCTCCAAACCCCCTCCTCACCTCTATCATAAATATATTTCCAGAGCTAGAATCTGGTCCACAGTGCCCCTCCTTAAAACTCTTCACTACTTAAAACTGCTTACACCTCTTCTTACAGGGCAGAGGAACATGTTTATTATGGTGAACCTAGGTCTACTGACTCAGCATTTATCTATATAGTACCATCATTCTTATTTTAAATTCCAGCTGGGTGTGGTGGCTCACACCTGTCATCCCAGCACTTTGGGAGGCTAAAGCAGGTGGATCACTTGAGGTCAGGAGTTTGAGACCAGCCTGGCCAATGTGGTGAAATCCCATCTCTACTAAAAAATACAAAAATTAGATAGGTGTGGTGGGGGGTGCCTGTAATCCCAGCTACTTGGGAGGCTGAGGCAGGAGAATTGCTTGAACCCAGGAGGTGGAGGTTACAGTGAGCCAAGATCATGCCACTGCACCCAGACTGGGCAAAAGAGCAAGACTCAGTTTGAAAAAAAAAAAAAATTCCAATAGATTTTCTTAGTGGAAGTTTAAGGGTTAGCATTAGAGATGGTGGTCTGTGAACTGTTCACAGCTCAGGGCCTTTTACCTCTTGAGAGTCCAAAGTGAGCAACAATACTGACAACAGCTGTGCTTTATATCATGCCAAGACTTTTTGGGAAATTAAAATCTGTAAGTGTTTACAGGAATATATGACAGACATAAATATCAGCATATAGTTTGCAGTGGGTAAAAAACTTCCAGGGAAATGCCCATATTCCTTACCACATACAGCCCTCATGGCCTGTGAGCTCTGACCCAGCTACCTGCCGCCTTCCACCGGCACCTGCCTCTAGCACCCTATCCTTTACCTTCCTAGACAGAGTGCCCTGCAGATCCCCAAAGGGGCCATGCTTTGGTTTGCATTTTTTTTTTTTTTTTTTGAGATGGAACCTTGCTCTGTTGCCCAGGCTGGAGTGCAGTGGTGTTCTTACTGCAACCTCCACCTCCTGGGTTCAAGTAGCTGGGATTATAGGCGTGTGCCACCACACCCAGCTAATTTTTCTATTTTTCGTTTTTTTTTTTTTTTGAGACGAAGTCTCGCTCTGTCGTCCAGGCTGGAGTACAGTGGTGCGATCTCGGCTCACTGCGCAACCTCTAAAACTCCTGGGTTCAAGTGATTCTCCTGCCTCAGCCTCCCAAGAAGCTGAGATTACAGGCATCCACCATCACACCTAGCTAATTTTTATATTTTAGGAGAGACGGGGTTTCACCATGTTGGCCAGGCTGGTCTCAAACTCCTGACCTCAGGTGATCCACCTGCCTCAGCCTTCCAAAGTGTTGGGGTTACAGGCGTGAGCCATGGGGTCATGCTTTTCTGCACTTCCAGGCCTTCCCTTGCTAGTGCTCGCCTCCTCAGAGCTCACTGCACACTGAACCTGCCACACTTGACTGCATTAATTTGACTCCATGTCTGTTATTGTTTGCACCAGGGATCAGATTTGGCCCAAACAGACTCTCCCTCTGGAGCATCTTTGGAAAACATTCTAACATTCCACAGCTGTCAAATTCACCCCAGGTTGCCCCAGCCAACTCACCACCCATATTCATGCCCTCCTCATCCAGGTCCTGTCCACTGTCATAGCGAGTTTTTTTCTTGGGATCAGAGAGGATGGTAAAGGCTTCTCCAACTTCCTTGAACTTCTTCTCCTCCTCCTTCTGAACCTCAGCACTGGCTCCACTATGCCGATCTAAAGTTGGGAGTAAAAGAACAACTCAGAGGAAGTCAGAGATTCAAGAAAACAAAGTTAAGAGAAAAACCACTTTATGTCTGATTTTGGAATTTGGCATTTCCCCAAATATGGAGGGTCTACAAGTCTGCAACACCTTACTCTCAGCTGAAGAACCTCTCCAAGGCGCCCCCTCTGGACTGAGTCTGGCAGTTAGCCTGCCCTGGAGGTTCTTCCCACTGAGCCTTTCCTCCCACCTACTCTACCTGGATGGTGCATTAAGGCCCGTTTCCGATAAGCTTTCTTGATCTCGTCCTCAGAGGCATTCTTGTCCACTCCCAGAATCTTGTAGTAATCTTTCCTCTTACTCTTCTTCAGTTCCAGCTGTGCATTTTTTAGGAGCTGTTTGTGTTCTAGAGGAAGACATCTGGCATCAGTGGACAAATCTGACTCTGGTTTTCTCCTCACCAGGTCTCAGCCCCGCTAGCTGGGAGTGAGAAGCCTTGTTAACCATGCCCGGCCTTTGTTCACTTCTTTCTGGCTGGTGATCAAATACGTTCTAGGTACATCCCTGATCCCTGAATCAAACTACCTCGTGTATAGATTTAGGGCTTACAAAGAAAGTCCACACAATTCCCTGAAAAGCAAATGTTTTCAAACTTACCTTTTGTTTTCTCCGTCTGATATACTTTTTCATAGTCTCGTACTGCTTCTTCATACTGTTCTGTGTCCATGTAACTGAGAAGGAAATACAAGGCAATACAGCACTCAGCCATCAATAGCAATGGTTCTCAGTGTCACTCTAGGGCAAGAGGCATGGCTCAAGCAAGAGACACACACTTTTGGTAAGATGCTTCTGAAACAGGAGCCCTTAATCTAGCAGTGAGAGAAAATTAGCTATCAATTCCTCAATGAAGTAAAAAGAGGCCACATGGCACTTGCACCCAAACATTAAAGTGATGTTCAGCTCTGAGCAGAAAGTAATCAAGAGAAAAAAGTTCCTTCTGACACAAAGCCACCTAAGAGGTACTGGACTGCCTTAGAAAAGGCAATGTGGGCTGGGCGCAATGGCTCACACCTGTAATCCCAGGATTTTGGGAGGCTGAGGCGGATGGATCACCTAGGCTCAGGAGTTCAAGACCAGCCTCACCAACATGGAAAAACCCCATCTCTACTAAAAATACAAAATTAGCCAGGTGTGGCGGCACATGCCTGTAATCCCAGCTACTCGGGAGGCTGAGGCAGGAGAATCACTTGAACCCAGGAGGTGGAAGTTGTGGTAAGTCAAGATTATACCACTGCACTCCAGCTGGGACAACAAGAGCAAAATCTCCGTCTAAAAAAAAAAAAAAACGGACAACGTGAAGGGACCTACTTGATTACTTGGGGGTGAAACACACAAGAGAAAAATTATCAAGTGAACAAATGGATATGAAAGAGCTCTGAAACCTGTAGTGCCACAAACATGCAGGGTTAGCTACAATCCAGAGTAGAAGTGGGATTAGTGAGCCACTAAAAGGATCAAGTTCAACGTGGCAGCTGCTGGCAAATCCTGCCACTAAGACCAATCAATGAGAGATGCAGGTAAATGAGACAGAAAAGGAAACTCCAAACACAGGTTTGCTTCTATTTTGGTAGCACAAAGGAAAGGAGGGGCTCCTGGCCCAAGATGGGAGGAATTGAGCTTGACAGGCTGATTGCCAGATCTTTTAAGTGTCTCTTCCACAGAAGCAAGTGGCACCAAGGCTGGCCTACCAATTAAAGACCATGATAGGAGTTCCAGAGATAGCCACTGTCAGTTGTGGAAGGGGAAGTGCTGCACAACAGAGATTCAGTTTCTCACATTGCTACCCCACAAGCCCTTTTTCACAGAATGAAATGAAAACAGAGACCAGGGCAGGAGAGTGCTGTGGTACCACTCTCCTGCCCTGGCCTCCAAGCTGGTGGGCATCTATGATGTTTGTGAAATCACAAACATCAAACGCACAAAAAATATGGCTGGCAGAAGAAAAGCCCAACATCTTTGGCATCTTTGATTTTCTGGCAACATTTTGATTTATGACTTAAAAAAAAAAAACAATGCTCTGCAAATACAGGATATATAAGTTATAGTAGGAGTTCAGAATCAATTTACAGAACAAAATGTGATATAATTTGAAGAGAAAATCGATACTCTGATACTGCACCCTAGCCTGGGTGATAGAGCTGAATCCTTAATTTAAAAAAAAGGAAAATTGATAGTATAAAATGTGACAAATGATTAACTCTGATGAACTTTCTTTAGGTCCACATGTCATGTATTAAACAAGCTATACTAATCTGCATTTTTTAAAATTCAGGGATATCCTCATATTTTAATTTCGTTTTAAAGCTGAAGTACGAAAGTAAATAAGGCTTTAGGGAGAAAGGGTGAACTAGAAAACAGAAACAGAGAAGTTATCAGCTCAAGGAATCAGGTAAGGATGTCCTGAGTCTTAGGTCTATGGATCCCTTGATTCTTTTCGATCTTGTTGTCCAGTCACACTAGGTATATGCTGAGACAAAGAAGTGTTTTCTCTTTGAAAAACAATTTGAGGCCGGGCACGGAGGCTCATGCCTGTAATCCTAGCACTTTGAGAGGCCGGGGCAAGTGGATCACGAAGTCAGGAGATCAAGACCATCCTGGATAACACGTTGAAACCCCGTCTCTAATAAAAATACAAAAAATTAGCTGGGCATGGTAGCATGCAACTGTAGTCCCAGCTACTCAGGAGGCTGAGGCAGAATTGCCTGAACCTGGGAGATGGAGGTTTCAATGAGCCGTTATCACACCACTGCACTACAGCCTGGGCAACAGAGCCAGACTCCACCTCAAAAAAACAGAAAAACTCAACCATTTGAAATCCCTCAAGTTTGCCGTAAGAAAGATTCCCTACAGAGACCAAGCCGTTTCCCAACCCAGGACATATGATAAGAGATCCTTTACTCAAGACAGGTATTCCCTATGTACCTCTGCAACAACCCTGCATGAGCTGCATATGTACCCCAGAACCTAAAGTACAATAAAAAAAAACAAAAAGCCAGGTATTCCCATATTAGGTAAAACAGTCCAGCATCTTCCCAGGAAAACACAAAGCCTTAAGTTGGTCGAAATGTGAAACATCTGAAGTTTAACCCTCTGGCTCATAAATAGCTTTGCCTGTTCTGGTAAGCAAAGAGAATTACTCTTCATGAACAGAATCCTGATCTGTTTTGGAGTACCAACTATAAGTCTTTTATTTTAGCCCCAATCTTTTTTGTTTTTTTTTTTTTTTTTGAGACAGGGTTTCACTCTATCACCCAGGATGGAGTGCAGTAGTATGATCACATCTCACTGTAGCCGCAACCTTCCTAACTCAGCCTCCCAAGCATCAGGGCCAAAAGGTATGCACCACCACACTCAGCTAATTTTTGTATTTTTTTTAAACAGAGATTGGGTTTCACCATGTTGCCCAGGTTGGTCTCGAACTCCTGGCCTCAAGCAGTCCACTGGCCTCAGCCTCCCAAAGTGCTGGAATTACAGGGGTGTAATTCCAGCCTTAAATGTTTTTGTAGAGACTTAGTCTCACTATGTTGTCCAGGCTAGTCTCAAACTTCTGGGCTCAAGCAATCCTCTCACCTTAGCCTCACAAAGTGTTAGGATTATAGGCATGAGCCACTATGCCTAGCCTTATTTTAGCTTCTTGGCTGCTATAAGGGAAACAGAACTTTGTCAGTGGGAAACAGACATGCAAAAAAACTGAAATCCATTTCTTTTCTCTCTAGAGACACTAAAGCTAAGGAACTAAAACATGCAGCCATTTAAAATGCTGCAACTGTAAAGTCCAACGTCTTAAAAGCTCCTCTCATTTTGCCCCCAGTGGGACTGTGACAATTTAGCAGTAGCAGGACACATTTTAAGCCAAGATCTAAGGAAGGAAGGACGCCTGCTGAACCTCACAAAAACAACCCAAGAGACTCATTACCTCTTGTATCCCTAAATGAACTGGTAGTAGGACTGTAACGAGAGAGGCAGGAACTTGGCCAAAGAACCCTAACCAAGCCAGATAGTAAAAGGGCATTTGTAAGGGATGCTCCTATCACTGCCCTCTGCTATAAGGAATCCAGGAAATATGAAAAACAGAAAACCACCTCCCTCCAAAGCTTCTATATCTCTACCCTATTTTCAGCACTAGAAAATCATATATAAACAAGGCTTTTTCATACTAACAGAGCCTAACGTTTACTATTTTTTCTTTCTCAAGACAGAATTTTGCTCTTGTTGCCCAGGCTGGAGTGCAATGGCACAATCTTGGCTCACTGCAACCTCTACCTCCTGGGTTCAGGTGATTCTCCTGCCTCAGCCTCCTGAGTACTGGGATTACAGGCGTGTACCACTGTGTCCGGCTAATTTTGACATTTTTAGTAGAGACAGGGTTTCACCATGTTGGTAAGACTGGTCTCGAACTCCTGACCTCAAGTGATCCACCTGCCCTGGCCTCCCAAAGTGCTGGGATTACAGGCATGAAGCACTGTGCCCAGCCCCTAATGTTTATTCTTCTAAGGATGTCTGATATGGAAAAAGTTAAAATGATTTTGTTTCATTTATTTTCCTTTTGATTTGTGCACAGAAGCGACATAATAATAAATGTTTATGTCAAAAAGAGTGCTATATATGAGAAATATAAAAATCTGATAAGAATGCATTTTTTTTTTCCTTTTTTAAAATTTTTGTTTTTTTGAGATGGAGTTTTGCTCTTGTTGCCCAGGATGGAGTGCAATAATCTCCACTCAGGCGTGCACCACCACACTCAGCTAATTTTTGTATCTTTAGTAGAGATGGGATTTCACCATATTAGTCAGGCTGGTCTCAAACGCCTGACCTCAGGTGATCCACTCACCTCGGCCTCCCAAAGTGCTGGGATTACAGGTGTGAGCCACAAGACCCAGCCTTTTTTCAACTAAAAAAATTTTTTTTCTCTCACTATTTGAACTACAGGAACAACACATGTGTTCATAGTTTAATTTACAGTTATATTTTCTTAGTGACAGATAAAATAATTTGCATTCTGCAATAAATGATGTTAAATGGAATCTCATTGTTACCCAGGTGGGAGTGCAATGGCGTGATCTCAGTTCACTGCAACCTCTACCTTCAGAGTTTAAGCGATTCTCTTGCCTCAGCATCTGGTGTAACTGGAATTAAAGGAGCACACCATTACACCTGGCTAATTTTTATATTCTTAGTAGAGACAGGGTTTCACCACGTTGGCCACTCTAGTCTCAAACTCCTGACCTCAGGTGACCCACCACCTCGGCCTCCCAAAGTGCTGGGATTACAGGTGTGAACTACTGTGCCTGGCCTAATGACATCTTAAATTCCAGGAAATAAAGTAGTTATTAAACTACCTTAAGTAATAAGGTAGTTTACCTTATTTATTTTATTGTACTGCTACCAAATACTATGTTTTGTGTGATGTGGTCACATTATAGCATAACCTATTTTATATAATATGTCTTCAGGTTCATTTACTCCAATTTTATGATAGAATATCCTCTCAGGCTGTGATTGAAGAAATTTATTTGCTTTAGATAGGAGGCTTTGAAATGAAGTCCAAAACAGGGACACTCTGCATCAGAGATTTACAGTGAGCACGATGAGTTTTTAAAGTTACCTATGGCCAAGTCCCCATTTATAATATAAAGAACCACTGAACTCTTTCCAAATACAAGTAAATCTCTACAATTAATTTAGGCTGTCTTCGCTGGGCAGAGTTTTGTCTCCCATTTTGCAACTCCTTAATGATGTATAAGGGTTGATGATGCTTCACTTGCAATATCTAGAAAGAAGTAGGAACAACATGAAAACTCAAAATTAAGAACAAAGACTAGACTCTGGTTTCCTGGCTTCTCTGATATCGCAGGGGCCTATTATGCTTTGTCAGACCTCTCAGCACCCAACAGATGGAGACACTGGCTGTGATAACAGCTTGAAAACTATTCACTGCACCTGAGTACCTCTTATATTTTTAACTTAATCAGATAGTAAAAACTTCAGAATACTGATTTCAGATCTCATGAACTAATTCTACACCGCCACCTCAAATTACGCAGCCTGAAGACATAACGGGCTTGGTATGAAAGATATAAAGTATGTGGGAAGGAGACTGAAGGCACTGTAGTCATCTTGAACAAAAGCATTAGATTAACCTGCAGCTGATGAGAAAAGGGCTCCAAACTTCTAGAACCTTTTTGTCAATTCTGTTTTAGGATTAGAACAAGTATGACTACCCACAACTCTGTTCCAACCCCACTTCCAATAATTTGGCCTAACTGTTGCCAGAATCTAGAGTGTTCTGGAAAACCACTCACTCAGCAGCTCCCTTGGCTAGTACGACTGGCAATCCCGAGCCACTGCGGGTGCTTCGGAGTGCCAACAGCGCCCAAGCAGCTGCCCTCTTCCTTGCTGCTTAAGAAAAGAACAGTGCTGGGAAGGATAAGGAAGGATACGAAGAGGAGTCTCACGTGTATAACACCAGATAAGCCCCTCACTCTTCCTTTTTTCTTCATCATCTTTGACTTCCGGGATAACCAGGGGGCAATCAGGTCAATTATGGAGACACACTCACCTCGAACCCTAGACTAGTGATCGCTGGGGTACAAGTACTAGGGAAAACGGGGTGAGGAAAGCAAAGGTTCTGGAGATGGAAAGTGCAGACAGGCAACAATGCACAGAAGTTAACAAGAGAAAGGCGGGGGTCGGGGGAGATGTAAGGAAGTCGTCATCGACGCCGCGCCGCCTCCCCCACCTCGCATCAGACCTCTGAAATTGCCCTCCGAGACCCGGCCTCTCCTATAAGGACGATCGTCCTCTCCGCTGAAGAACTAGACCATGTCTCAGGTCCTTCACCAGGCGGAAGCGGGAAAGGAAGGCCGACCCCCAAGAGCGCCCCTTAAGGGGGTCCATCCGGCCTTGATCTCAGGTTGTGGGGGGTGTTTGCGGAGGGCGGGGCATCGCCTCAGCAGCTGAGGGCTGCATCACGGCAGGAACTGGGTTTTCCTGAGCCACGGAGCTGCAGTTCGCCCCCTCTACTACCCTGCTACCCGGTTACCTCTTCGCCTCTTCGTCGTCCAGCAGCTCTGGCTCGGTCGCCGCCATTACCACATCGCATTCCGCGGCAGCCGCCATCTTACCGCCGGGACCAGAGAGCTGGGTGGGAGGCAGGCGGTGAAGAGCACTTCCGGTCGGAGCATAGAGCAGCTCAGCGGCGCTGCGCCCAGAAGGGCTCCCTCGGGCTAGTCTACCAGCGAGAGGCTCCGTTTGGGGCCAGAGCGGCCTCCCGCCCCCGGCTGTCCACTGTGGTCTCCGCGCCGGGGCGGGAGCCCACGGACTTTTCCTGTGCGTAGGCGGCGCCACTTTACCCGTGGGTGGGAAGGGGGGTGTACAGGTGGTAGCCTCTCTAGGGCTTGGCTGTTTTCAGTATTTCAAGAGCCTCGTTGCCATAGCAACTTCCAATCCTAGAGAGTCCCCTGAAAGGCTCCAGGGAGTCTGAGTTGGGTGGGGACCAGGTGACCCAGGATTCTGGAGGGAGAGTCCCCACTGCTACCTTTCCGACCTTGGAGTGTGTCCACGGCTTCTTCCCGGCAAAGGCAAGAGACACTCTGAGCCCAGTTCCCCGAGCTTTCATCGTTCTCTGGAAGCCCTGCCCAACCAAGCCAGGGGAACGCAGGGCGTCCTCACCCTGCGCCTTTCATCCACTCCGGATCACCAAACACCAGCTGGTTCATCACCCTAAGGACGCTGACCCTTTTACGAGGCTGCTTTCATGTCAGCCACCTGGGAGTGCCATCTCAGCATTAAGCCTAGGAAAGCTGGACACATGGCGCCCCAGACTCTGCCCTGGAGTTTATAAGGAAGCTCGAGGGATGAGGTCCCCGCTTCTTGTGTCCTCAGTACTCCCACCTCTCATATAAACTTTCATCACGCTGGTCTTGCCGAATGCGGTCTGGATTGAGAACTCATAGGGGACAAGAGCACAGTTTAATTGTCTTTGTTGTCATTCCCTCACCCAAACCTCTATTTGTGGAGCTAAATTAAATTGGAGCTTTCTGGGGTCAAATTGGAGGAATATGAGGAGTAGTTTTACAATGTAAAGAGGGTAGCTAAAATAAAAAGAGGGCAAAGGAATTTTAAAACGATTTACCTGTTTTCCTCCAGGAAAACAGCATGTGCCAATGCACCTACCCTGCCTATCCCAGAGGGAGCTGTGCCCTTGTACCTTATGAGTTCTCAATCCAGACCACAGCGATCACTGAGTAGGGAGGGATGGGACAAGCTCGCTAGGTTGGAAAGGAGGGGTCATTTGTTTAGCCAGTCACTCAGTATCCCTTTCCAAAATGCCTACTCTGCTAGGTTGGGAGGGCACAAGATTCACAGACCACCTGCCCTGCCTGCCAGTGGCTTAAAGTTCAGTCTAATGCTAGCCAACCTATCTTGCTATCTTCCCACTTCATGTTCTATCTGAGGCAACTCATTTATTCCCACAGCTTTAATTCCGTCTGTTGATGATCTCAACCCTTGATATCTCCAACCTAAACCTTTCTTCAGGTTCCATAGCTGTATATCCAACTATCTACTGGATATCTCTTGTTTGTTTCACACATCCCCAAGGCTTACCATATTTAAGTTGAACTTTTCATTCTCTACCCACACCTCAACAACAGAAAAAACAAATGCTATATGTAATTATTATCTTTCCTGAATTTCGTATCTTGTTAAATGGATTAAACTCACTCACCTGGCCACTATATGAGAAGGATGGAAGCTATGAACTCCTCCCTCTGTCTCACGCTTGGCTTCCAATGTGTTGCCAAGTTTTGTTGATTTTCCTACCAAATATTTCCCAAATCTATCTCCACCTTTCCATCCTGATTCAGGCTCTCATCGTTTTTAAAAATCTTGGAATAGGCTGGGTGTGGTGGCATGTGTAGTCCCAGCTACTTTGGAGGCTGAGACAGGAGGATCACTTGAGCCCAGGGGTTTGAGGCTGCAGTGAGTTATGATCACACCAATGTACTCTAGCATGGACAAAAGAGCAAGACCTTGTCTCAAAAAAAAAAAAAAAAAAAAAAAAAACGACAACAACAAAACAACAGCAAAAACAAAAAACTTGGAATACAGCAGTAGTCTCCTAATTGGTCCCTAGTTTCATCTCTGTCCAGTCTTCCCTCTTCTGCCAGAGTGATCTTCCTCAAGGACTCATGATGTCACTTCATTGGCAGTGGCTTTCCATGACCATCAATTTGATCTCTTTGGCCTACTACACAAGGCCTTTGATTATTTGTTTATTTTTTTTAATGACCTGAGTACCAATATTTAGGTCCTTCCTACCACCAATAATGAACTCAAGTCATCATAGTTCCAGAAAATTCCATGACTGTAGCCATGTTTCCTCCACCCTAGAATACCCTTTCCCCCAAGCCCTTCAATGTCCGCTGACCCAAAGTTAAATGCCCCTTTGCTGTGCCCCATAGCATCTCAGTAATTGTTGGGAAGACATGTAGCTTCTCTAGACCGTGAGTTCTGATCGGCAGCCACCATGTCTAACTCGTCCACCTTCTCTCAGTATATGGCCCTGTACCTGGCACAGACAGAGAAGATGCTCAGAAAACATTTGACGAATAAGTGGTTGAGTAAACGAAGACTAACTGTACTCTGATCGCCTTTAGAGAGAGCATATTTGGGTCTCAGAGACACCAGAACATCGGCCCACCTCCATGGAGCCTAGAACCTTGGGCTCCCGCGCACACCCAGGCCAGGTCCTGGCCGTCATTCCCCCGCCGGTCTCTCGGGGGAGCTGCGCGGCACTCGCCTGCTCTTCGTGCCGGAATTCGTCTTGCCTGACGGAAGCTGGGGGGGCGGGCAGGCGGCGGGGGCGGGGCCCAGCGGAGCCTACCCCGGCCCGGGAGGAAGACTGGAGCCTTTGCGGCGGCGCTGTCCCTCCCCTGGTTCCCGCGCGCTCCGAGGGTCCGGCTGGTGCTGCGGGGGCCGCAGGAGGTACGGAGCTAGGAGGCGAGGCTCGTCGGGTGCTGGGATTGGCCTCCGTCTCCGGTCCGCTTTTGCTAGCTGGTCTCTGCCTCTCATTCCCTCTGGGGGCTCCCCCGTGGGAAAATATGTGGTGACGGTCCCTCTGGCCCACTCTTGTGGTGTCCTTTATTGTGGGGCTCACTATATGGAGAGGGAGGTCTGTGTCAGGAGCTTCCCCTGGAGAGGTTTCTGTTTGGGACCGTCTTTGGGAGTGGTCTATCTCTACTCTTTGGGGGATCTTTGGAGTTGTTGGGGGGGGCTTGTGTTTGGAAGTTTGCCTTCGGGGAGATATCTATCTGGGACCTCTCAGGGTTTCTGTGTCTGAGCTTTCTCTTCTGGGTCTATCGGTCCAAGAGCAGCAAAAAGTATCTCCTTTCTGAAGCCTTTTTTTTCCTTAGATTTTTTTTCACTCTCTTCTCTTTTGTCTGATGTTCATCTTAGTCTTAGACTTGACTAAGGTTTCGAGGCAATTGATTGTTGTCCAGATGAGTCATACAGGAAAGCAGATTATCTTTTTTTTTTTTTCTTTTGCGATGGAGTGTCACTCTGATACCCAGGCTGGAATGCAGTGGTGCAGTCTCGGCTTACTGCAACTTCTGCCTCCCAGGTTCAAGCAGTTCTCCTGCATCAGCCTCCCAAGTAGCTGGGACTACAGGTGGCTGCCACCATAACTTGCTATTTTTTTGTATTTTTAGTAGATAGGAGATTTCACTATGTTGGCCAGGCTGGTCTCGAACTTGTGATCCACCCGCCTCGGCCTCCCAAAGTGCTGGGATTACAGGTACAAGCCAGTGTGCCTGGCCCCAGATTATCCTTTTTATTTACTCACTCTACCCCCGCCCCCCCACCCAGGAACAGATGGCTTCAGACAGCCACACAAAAGACTATTTCTGCTTATTTCTCCATGGGGTCATGGTTAAAGAGAGGAAGCTGGGGCCGGGCACAGTGGCTCATGCCTGTAATCCAAACTTTGGAGGCCAAGGCGGGTGGATCACCTGAGGTCGGGAGTTCATGACCAGCCTGACCAACATGGTGAAACCCCGTCTTTAAAAAAAAAGAGAAGAAGCTGGGCTGAGCTCCCTTCACTAATTGGTCCTCTTTACATCTTGTGCACCGAAGGGAACCTGGCCAGTGGCCACTGACTCTCCTCTCCCTTTATGGCAGCATTTCCAAGCACCTGCCCTGTGCCAGATACTGCCTGTGTACGGGGGATAACAAAGACAAAATAACAGCTTGCCATCCAGTAGTGGACATAGAGAATAGTTGGTTTCTTCTGACTAGCATCGGGATGGTGCTGAAACCCTGAAACTACACATTCAGTGTAGAATTTGGGCTCTCAGTTATGGAAGTTCTGCCTTCTGTTTGTTTTTTGTTTTTGTCTACCAGAAAACATCAGCTAGTAACTGCCCTCTGTGTTGATGCTGTCTTTCCTTACCTCACCCAATGTGCTTCTGTTCCTCAAGGTTGAAAGTTAAGCATGGGGAAGAGCTGCAAGGTGGTCGTGTGTGGCCAGGCGTCTGTGGGCAAAACTTCAATTCTAGAGCAGCTGCTGTATGGGAACCATGTAGTGGGTGAGTGTCATTGGAGGGGGAGGGACAGTGGAAGAAGTTGAAGAATAAGGAATAGCACTCGATCACAACACACACAGGCAAAAAGCTGCTCCTGGTGGTTTTTGCACCTGGAAGAGTAAAACTTATATTGTAATCCCCAAAAGTAACTCTACAACACTGAGCAGATCTGGAGGGAAAAAACTCAACATCTGAGATAGGAAGGAGAAGCTCTCATGCCACACTTGTGCTTAGTATGGAATTAGCATGAAATTAATGTCTGTTCCCCAGGCTGTCCATTCTCTGGCCTCCTCAGCACCCCCACACTGCTTTCTCTCCCTGTCTGGTCAGTCTTAAGATGTTCTCATCACTCACATTTCCCACCTCCCTCTCCACTTCAGACAGTTTTCTCATTTTATACCAGGTTCGGAGATGATCGAGACGCAGGAGGACATCTACGTAGGTTCCATTGAGACAGACCGAGGGGTGCGAGAGCAGGTGCGTTTCTACGACACTCGGGGGCTCCGAGACGGGGCCGAACTGCCCCGACACTGCTTCTCCTGCACTGATGGCTACGTCCTGGTCTACAGCACAGATAGCAGAGAGTCCTTTCAACGCGTAGAGCTGCTCAAAAAGGAGATTGACAAATCCAAGGACAAGAAGGAGGTGTGTGGCATAAGCTCCTAGTGGGAGCCTCAGTGGTAAGAGAGTGTGGGCAGTGGGTTGGTTTGGGAAGCCTGGCATGTCTCCCTTCTTCACTTATTTGCCAGAAGGTGAGTTAGGAGCTAGAGGTGGGGTGGAGGCCACTGAGGGTATCACCCTCAGGGGTGGCTACATGTTGAATCTGCTCAACCAGAGACGCCTCTGTGGCTTAAGGAGTATCTGACCTCATGTATGAAGCCCCCATTAGTTGTTCTTCCTGATGGTTTCGTGCTTTTAGCTATGAAGGCGCTTTTTTTTTTTTTTTGAGACAGGGTCTCGCTCTGCCACCCAGGTTGGAGTGCAGTGGCATGATCACAGCTCACTGCAACCTCAACCTCCCAAGGCTTAGGGGGTCCTCCTGCCTCAGCCCCCTGAAGTAGCTAGGACTACTAGCTACTAGCTAGGTGCACACCACCACACCTAGCTAACTCTTGTATTTTTAGTAGAGACGGGGTTTCGTCATATTGCCCAGGCTCTTCTCAAACTCCTGGACTCAAGCAGTCCATTTGCCTCAGGTTCCCAAAGTGTTGGGATTATAGGCGTGAGCCACCCACCTGGCCACAAAGGCCCTTCTGTTCTCCAAAATCCCCCTCTAAGCTGCAGGATTCTGGGAATGTTTCCTCGCCAATTTTTGAGCCAGAAACTGACTGCTAGTAATGAGCATGTATGGCCAATACAGAACTGGTGATAGATCTCCTAAGAGGAGGGCTAGTGGAGGCCAGAATTTGAACAGAGGAAAGAGAAGGAAAAGCAACCATTTCCTTCCGCTCAATGAGTGGTTTTGAGTGTAGAGATAAAACATCAGCTGTTGAGAATCCTCTCATAGAACTTCTAGGTGGTTGCCAGCCCCCATGTCCATTCCTGGGTCCATGGTACATTCACGGGCCTATGCTCTGTCCCTCTTCCCCAGGTCACCATCGTGGTCCTTGGCAACAAGTGTGACCTACAGGAGCAGCGGCGTGTAGACCCAGATGTGGCTCAGCATTGGGCCAAGTCAGAGAAGGTGAAGCTGTGGGAGGTGTCAGTGGCGGACCGGCGCTCCCTCCTAGAGCCTTTCGTCTACCTGGCCAGCAAGATGACCCAACCCCAGAGCAAGTCTACCTTCCCCCTCAGCCGTAAGAACAAGGGCAGCGGCTCCTTGGATGGCTGAAGAGCTGCCATTCCTCCTTCACACTCCCAGCCCCATTTCAGCATCTGGGGCTCTGGTAGATGGGTTGAGAGCAAAGTGGAGGGCAAGCTGACCTTCCCAGTCAGCCAGGGAGCTCCCTGCTGGGCCAGGCCCCAGCCACTTTGCTTCCCCTCACCTCTGGGAAGTACAAATACTCTTGATTGACATCCCTTCCCTCAGCCCCCCAGCCTACTCCCCACCCTGGCTTTTATCATATCTGCTCCACTGTCACCTGGGGCAGTTGTGGGTCACCATCCCTTCCAGCTGCCCCAGACAGGAAGCAGAGTCACCACACAGCAGTACCCCTTCTTGGGTCTGGGGCACTGCTCCTGTTATAGAGGTCCCACCCGCTGGGCTTCCTGTCAGTAACACACAAACACTTACGGCACCAGCCTGGACTCCAGAGAAAGGGTGTCCAGGTATTGTGTGTATGCATTTAGTTGTGCACACGTGCGTGTGTGTGTGTGTGCACACATGTGCTTCTACACTGGCATTAGGGGTGTCTCCTCATCCCTCACCCTGACCTTTCTCCTGTCCTTTTCTTGGCTGGAAGAAGCTAGACTCCTGGGAGTGTAGTTTTCTCTTTTAAATCCCCTACCCCTGCTGGGCTCAGTGGCTTACACCTGTAATCGCAGCACTTTGGGAGGCCGAGGTGGGTGGATCACTTGAGGTCAGGAATTCAAGACCAGCCCGGCGAACATTGTGAAACCCCATCTCTGCCAAAAATACAAAAGTTAGCCGGGCATGGTGGCACATGCCTGTAAGCCCAGCTACTCAGGAGGCTGAGGCAGGAGAATCGCTTTAACTCAGAAGGCAGAGGCTGCAGTGAGCTGAGATCATGCCACTGCACTCCTCCATCCAGCCTGGGCAACAGAGGAAGACTCCGTCTCAAAAAAAAAAAAAATTCTCCACTCCCACCAATGGTTTCACTTCCTCTTCCTGCTCAGGGAGCAGATGGGCCTCATTAGTTGAGGTGGAATAGAATGATCACTGGGCTATGAGTGGCCAGCCAACTGTGACCCAGCAAAGACCTTTCCCCTCTCTGGACGTCAGTTTTCTCATCTGTAAGATGACCAGAGTTGCTTAGATGATCTCCTAGATCCTTTCCAGTTCTCTAATTTTGTAAAGCCAATGGCTTCTCCCTCTTCAAGGTGCTATGCTGACCAGCCCTGGAGGCTGAGATCCGCCGCTCCTTCCAGCCACCAGGGGGCAGGGGTGCACTACCTGCTGTCAATCGCCAGAGCAGCTGCTCTGTGCCCAGCCCGCCAACCTCACCATTGGAGGCTGCTGTTAGTCCTGCCCGTGGTTTTCAGCTCAGAGCTGGACTTCTATTTATAACTTACCTGTATTTATATTTATATGCCCGCTGCCATGGTGAAGGCTGGACAAGGTGCTCCTCTGGCCCCTCCTTACCTCAGATGCCTATATAGAACAAGGCAAACCGTAGCAGCCTCTCAGGAGCTGACAGGTCCTCTTTCAGGGCACAGTAGGGTGAGCACACATCCAGCGGGCTGCAAAGTGAGCTTATACCCACAACTTCCTGTGCCTGCTTTGTGCGTCTAATACTAAGGTGCACGCCTAGCCTAGGTGAGACACTGCAGCCAGGCAACCACCCATACACGCCCTTCTCAAAGCCAGAGGTGACTGGGGCAGGTGCCCAGGGCTGGGTGAGTGGAATTAGGACATGCACAGGCTTGGGCTTCAAGTTCATTTATTGATGAACATTGATTGGACACAATAAAACCACAATTGTTATCAAAAAGTTTCCCTCCCCCACCCCCTTTTTCTGGTTCTCCCATTGGAAATGTCTTTTAAAAAAAAAAGATACAGGGGGATACTGGCAAGGTCCCGTGGGGTGGGGAGGGGGCAGTACTAAGGTGAAAGGGAGTTTGTGACATTGACATTGACAGCATGAAAATGTGTCTTGCAAGTGCATGTCAGACTGTTTCCCAACACTCAGCTTCACAGGGGCAGGGGCTGGATGGGAGAAGGGAAAGCTGAATTTAGTGCTGGGACCAGTTTGGAGTGGGAAGCTGTAGGAGAAAGCTCTTCCTTTGGGAGCCCTGCGGGGATTCAGTGTTAGCTGAGTCCACAGTCTGAGGGAGACCCACGTGTGCCCTCCAAGAGCGGGGGTTCATGAAGTCAGAGAAAGGCTATGAAGGGAGAGCCTCCGGGGGATGAATTACTCCCTAACTATTAGGACTGGGCCTATCCATGAGTATCACTTGAACCCAGGAGGTCGAGGCTGCAGTGAGCCAGATAGCACCACTGCACTCCAGCCTGGGTGACAGAATGAAACTTAAAAAAAAACAAAGACTGGGCCCATCAATGCCCAGACTAAGATTGAAACAAACAAGACACCTGGGCCTAACCAGAACAACACCTCCTCTCCTAGTCCCATCCTTTCAGAGCAGATGAAGCCCCCAAAGCCTTCAGAATCAACCCACTGCCTCCTTGGCTCTGTCCCACCTTAGCACTGCTGATCAAGGGACTTCTGGATCCCCCTTTCTCCTCCATGGTCCTCTGCCATACCCCCCCAGTCACCTTTCCTGATAGCCTTGAGCCTGCTCCAGCTAGAGACCCCATCCCTATCTCCAGTGAAGCCCCAGAGCCTAGGATTAGAGGTCAGAGACTTGTCCTTCGGCTAGGAGAGGACGACTTATAGAAGCTAAGATTCCTGGAGTCTGGCCATGTGGGTCTTGGTGTAGGTCTTGGGTGGAGGAAAATGAGAGCACCGCGTGGCTGGGGCTGAGATTTGCATAGATCTTTGGGATCTGTCAGGGTGGGAGATGCAGAGAAGCCTAGAAGGCCTGGGAAAGGAGGGTGGGGACAGTCCTTGGAAGGGCAGCTGTCCTTAAAACTAGTCCAGCTCTTCCTGGAGTACGCAGGACCGTTGAAGCTGTTCACAGTCCCTGTGGCATGTAGGAAACCAAGGTGTCTTGGGACAGGAGACAAGGAGTGGCTACTGGGAAATCAACCCTGGCCTCCCCATGAGGGCTAATAAGGGGCAAGCACAATAGGTCCTGTGGCAGGGCGGACGGCTCCTGCTGGGGTGCGAAACAGAGCTGGGCCCAGGATCGGAGCCGGGAAGAGGGCAGTGGCTGCTGTAGGGGCAGGGCGGAGAGCCAGGGGCCCTGGCAGGGCGCAGATGGCAGTGGCTGCGGTGGGGATCGGGCTGGGCAGGAAGCGGGCTGCCAGCGTCTTGGTGAGTTGCTTCTGCAGGGCCAGTTTAGACTACACAGGAAAGAAAGGAATGGACAGTCTCCACCACAGAAACCCCACCCCCTCCCTGGGCCCCATCCTCAAGCTTTTTGCTGCAGAGAAAACGTGCCTTTTAGAGTTCCAAACCTAAATCCTCCTCCCTTCCCACCCCCAAACGGTCATTCCAAAGGGCTTTCTCCACCACCTGTCTTCCTGTCCAGAGGGAGGAATGTCTCAGGATGGGAGAAGGGAGGATTTATGGGATAAAGATGGTCTCTGGGGGATGCACACCCACCCCTCGCTCTTGCTCCTAAGATGAACTACCCCAGCCCACCTCCCCAGAGATTCCTCTGGGTAGATCCCAATTCCCAGCCCCAGCTCCCTCCTGGTCCAGCAGCCTCAGTGCCGGGGGGCCTCTTTCCTGCCCCACCATAGCCCCCATCTGGCCCTCCCAGCCCACCCTCTCCCCTCCGGACCAAGTCCCAGCTCTGTTGCCTGGAGACAGATACCTTGAGGATACTCACAGCCAGCGCTGTGTGCTTCTGCAGCTTGCTGTGCTGGCTGGAGGGCTTGGGGGGCTTCCCGGCCAGGCGGTCTTTGTGCCTCCTGCTGCTCATGTGCTAATGGACAGACAGACAGATTGGGAACAAGATTTCAAAGCCCAAGGACCCTAAGACCATCATCCTCAACCCTCTCCCCATTCCTCTACCCACAGCTCATACATCCAAAGCACACAGACTGGGTCCTCACCCTGGGGTAGGCCCTGGGAAGGGGAGGTGAGTCTTGGCCTTTGCTCTCAATTGGCCCACTGGCCTGCTGGCCTCGCTCCTCCAGCCTGTCCTGCTCTGCCCTGCCTGCCCTCTTTCTTCAGGATCCCTCCCTCTCCTGCCCTGTCCCCCAACCCCCTCCCCTGGCTCCAACCCCAGTCCCAGCCTCACTTCTCCCACCTGCTTGAGTTGGGTCTCTGAATTGACCTGGAGCTGACAGAGGGCACAGTGGAAAGCGGGGCTGGGCCCCTGCCGGCCTCCCCGACCCCCTGTCACTCTCTTGGCCTTGTGACCGGTGCCTCCCCTGGACATTGGGTGGCCCCGGCCCCTCCGGGGAGCCCCTCGCTGACCTTCCACCATCCACCGGTGCTTGGCTCCTGGAGGGGGAAGAAGGCAGTGTCTCAGCAGCAGAAAGGGGTTTCGGGGGCCACGGAGGCCCTCTCCACACTCATTCAGTTTAGCTCTCCCTGCAAGGCTCACGGCTGCTCTGTGCACACATCGCCCTCCAGCCACACGTGGTTTCTCCTCCCAGCTTCTGTCTTTCCATGCCAGCCCCTCCCATGGAAGGCCTTCCTGGCTATAACTGGCTGGCTTCCCCTTTGCTTTGATCTCAGTCTCCTCCTTCTGGGTGTGATCTAAGGATAGAGGGAGATGTCTCCTGTCTCCTGTCTCCTGTGGAGTGACTCTTCAGAGATTTAGTGACCTTCATTTTAGTTCTTGCTGCCTCACACTTCCCAATTCTCCCTCCCCACGGAGTAATGGGAGGACCCGGAAATGCCCACTCAATAACATGCGAGCACAACGCCTCTGACACCCAACCCTGAGCGAGGCCCCCAGGAACTCAAGCCTGCCCATATCTGGTGAGGCTCAGCTTCTGCCCCACCCTTTCCCCTGGGCTCCAGCTCCTAGGGACCACTGACCTGTGTTGTGAGCCTGAAGCTGGGAGGCCGAGTTCACCGTCACCTTACACGTGGGGCAGTAGAGGTGCCCCTTCTCGCTCCTGCCTTCCCCACTCACGCTGCTTCCCACGGCAGCTGCTGCTGGCTCAGGCCCCGGTGCCTCTCTCCCAGGCTCTGGGGAGCAAGGTGGGCAGGAGGAAGAAGAGGAAGAGGAGGCAGCATCCAAGAGGTCTGAGTGGGCTGGTTCCCTGGATGTAGGGTCCGGAGTCGGTGCTGGCTGGAGTGGAGGCGGGACTGCAGGAACTGCTGCGGAGATGGAAGGCACAGGGTAGAGTATGAGGCCCAAGATGGCACTGGAGACCATGATCTTCAGCTCTGACCATGGAGGTGGCCTGGAGGGCCCCTGGTGGATGACCAGCACTAAATTCCAGGCCCCACAGTTCTTTTTTTTTTTTCCAGACGGAGTTTCCATCTTGTTGCCCAGGCTGGAGTGCAATGGCACGATCTCGACTCACTGCAACCTCCACCTCCCAGGTTCAAGCGATTCTCCTGCCTCAGCCTCCTAAGTAGCTGGGATTACAGGCATGCACCACCACACCCAGCTATCTTTTTTTTTGTTTTTTGTTTTTTTGAGATAGAGTCTCGCCGTGTTGTACAGGCTGGAGTGCAGTGGCGCAATCTCAGCTCACTGCAACTTCCACCTCTCGGGTTCAAGCAATTCTCCTGCCTCAGCCTCCTGAGTAGCTGAAATTACAGGTGTGAGCCACCATGCCCAGCTAATTTTTGTATTTTTAGTAGAGACGGGGTTTCACCATGTTGGACAGGCTGGTCTCCAACTCCTAACCTCATGATCCACCCGCCTTGGCCTTCCAAAATGTTGGGATTACAAACGTGAGCCACTGCACCCAGCCCAGGCCCCACTTTTCTACCAACTCACTGGGCAGACTTGGGCCTCAGTTTCCCCATCTGAAATAATAAAGTTGGACACAGTGGTCTCCTGAAGCCCTCACAGCCCTCATATTCTTATTTGCTTACTTCAATAAGCAGAGATCACCAAAAAGACATACTAGAATGTTCATAGAACACTATTCATAATAGCATATAACTGAAACTACCCACATGTCCAACAGGAGAGTAGATTTTTTAAAAATAGTGGCATAGGCTGGATGTAGTGGCTCATGCCTGTAATTCCAGCACTTTGGAGCCATGGCGGGCAGATCACAAGGTCAGAAGTTTGAGACCAGCCTGGCCAATATGGTGAAATCCCATCTCTACTAAAAATACAAAAATTAGCCAGGCATGGTGGTGGGCTCCTGTAGTCCCAGCTACTCGGGAGGCTGAGGCAGGAGAATTGTTTGAACCCAGGAGGTGGAGGCTGTGGTGAACCAAGATCATGCCACTGCACTCCAGCCTGGGTGACAGAGTGAGACTCCATCTCAAAACAAAACAAAACAGATACAAAACCCTACCTACTCTATTATTCACCAAAAATAGGTAAAACTGATCTATGCTAAGAAATCTCAGGATCATAATTACCATCAGAGGGGCTGTAATTGGTTGAATAGATCTCCCCCAAAATTCATGTCTATCTGGAACTTCAGAATGTGACCTTATTTGGAAACAGGGTCTTTGCAGATAAAATTAGTTAAGATTAGGTCATACTGAGTTTGGGTGGGACTAATCTAGTGACTGGTACCCTTATAAGAAGAGCTTGTGAAGACACAGACACACAAGGGAGAATGTGGTGTGGAGATGGAGGCGGAGATTGGAGTGACGCATCTACCCGCCAAGGAGAGCCAAGGAGTGCCCACGACACCAGAGGCCAGAAGAGAAGCACGGGCCACCTTCTCCCTCTGAGCCCCAAGAAGAAACCAACCCTGCCAACGCCTTGGCTGCAGACTCTGGCCTCCAGAGCTGTGGGAAATACATTTCCATTGTTTTCAGCCACCCAGGTTGTAGTCTTTTTTTAGGTTAGAGACAAGGTTTTGCTCTGCCACCTAGGCTAGAGTGCAGTGGCATGACCATAGCCCACTGCAGCCTTGACCTCCTGGACTTAAGTGGGTCCTTCTGCTTCAGCCTCCTGAGTAGCTAGGACTGCAGGTATGCATCATCACACCTGGCTAATGAATTTTTTGTACAGAAAGGGTCACACTGTGCTGCCCAGACTGGTTTCAAACTCCAGGCCTCAAGCAATTCTTCTGCCTCAGCCTCCCAAAGTGTTAACCATCACACAGTGTGATCCACTGTGCCTAACTTCACAAATGCAGTCATTTGTGAAGGTAGCCCTTGGAAATGAATACTTCAAGGTAGTGACCAGGAGTGGGTGCAAGACAAGTTTCTGGGGTGCTGGTAACATGTTTCCTGATCTGAGTGTGTTCCGCTTGGGAAAATGCATTGAGTGGTTCACCTGTGTACCTTTTGACTGTCTGTGTGCAATACTCCAACACAAGCACAACGAATGGGAAACCAGATTTGGAGTGGGGACAAGGGGAAGAGAAGAGCTCAGGACTGACCTTTACTCTGTGGCTCTCCAGGGGCTCCACTGGCCAGCGTTGGGACTGGGGACACCACAGCCCCATCCTGGGCCTGGGTGTGTGGCCTCTGCTTGCTCTTGGCAGCCTCGACAGCCTTGAGTTTTCTGGCATGTTTGTGGCCTTTATAATGTGCCTCAGCCTGGTTCTGGGGAGGGGAGGGCAAGAGGTCACCATTCATTGGCTGAGTCCACATGCTCCATCCATGAACTGGAGTCCAGCAGGAGGACAGGTCAAAGGGAGGCAGGGCTTGTCTCACTGCAACCTCTGCCTTCCAGGTTCAAGGGATTCTCCTGCCTCAGCCTCCTGAGTAGCTGGGATTACAGGTGCACACAAAGGGCAAGCCCTTGTCCTTTTCGTTATCACCGTACCACATGTGGCTCTGAGGTTTATAGAATGCGTTCTCACACACAAGCCTCTGGCTTTGGACCTGACTCAGCCACTTACTACATCTTTAGGCAAGTCCCATCATCTGTCTGAGCCTGAGTCTCCTCACCCACCAACTCTGTGATAATACTGATCTCATGGGGTTGTCAGAATTACGTGGGAACATGAATTACAAGGGCTGAGTCCGTAGAGTAGATGCTCAATGAAATGTTAGTTATCAAGTGTAAAATTGCACAAGTGGAGAAAGCAGAGCAGTCCTCATGCTTTTGGGCAAATGCTCCCCAGGACATTCATCCCTTTGTTCATTTGTTCAACAAATTACTACTGAGCATTTGCTATTTGCCAGGCACTGTGCCCAGAGTCTGGCAGGAAGAAGCCATGTTCCTCCCTCAGAACAAATTATTTCCTTCATCTGCTTTTTTTTTTTTTTTTTTTGAGACAGTTTCAATTTGCCACCCAGGCTGGAGGACAGTGATGCAATCTGGGGTCACTGCAACCTCCACCTCCCAGGTTTAAGCCATCCTGTCTCAGCCTCCTGAGTAGCTGGGATTACAGGCACCTGCAACCACACCTGACTGATTTCCTTTTTGTATTTTAGTAAAGATGGGGTTTCACTATGTTGTCCAGGCTGGTCTCAAACTCCTGACCTCAAGTGATCTGCCCACCTCGGCCTCCCAAAGTGCTGGGATCACAGGTGTGAGCCACGTCACCCGGCCTCTCCTCCATCTCTTGCAGGACTCATGGAACCAGAAGGCCCAAAGGGAAATCCCAGATCTGATCTGCCAGTGACCTCCCTCCAAGCGTCCTCACTTGCTGCTCCCTGGCCCATCTTGAAACATAGGAAAGACAGGCCTCCATGGTCCCTCCATGGATCCACACTACAGCAGTTCTGCTGACAACTGGCCGGAACTCCAGATTGCCTGACAGGAGGCAGACCTTCCCTGGGAGGCCAGAATGAGGTTCCTCCTCTACCTTGGGGTAGGATGTAGTAGAAAGTCATAGAGGCCTGGGTTCAAATCCCAGCTTTGCTACTCATCAGTTATGTGGTCTTAGGCAAGCCACTTAATCTCTCTAAAGCTCAGTTTCCTCATCTGGAAATCGTGGATTATGTTAGCGCCTCTAGAACAGGCATGGTGGCTCAAATCTGTAATCGCAACATTTTGGGAGGCTGAGGCCGGTGGATCACTTGAACCCAGGAGTTTGAGACCAGTCTGAGCAACATAGTAAAACCTGGTCTCTGCCAAAAAAACAAAAACAAACAAAACTAGCCAGGTGTGGTGCACACCTGTAATCCCAGCTACTCAGGAGGCTGAGACACAAGAATCGCTTGAACCTGGGATTTGGAGGTTGCAGTGAGCCAAGAACGCACCACTGCCTTCCCACCTGGGTGACAGAGTGAGACTTTGTCTAAAAAAAAAAACAACACCTCTACCTATTTCACAGATGTATCATGAGAGCTATTATTATTATTATTATTATTATTTTTAAGACCGAGTTTCGCTCTTGTTACCCAGGCTGGAGTGCAATGGCGTGACCTCGGCTCACTGCAACCTCCGCCTCCTGGGTTCAGGCAATTCTCCTGCCTCAGCCTCCTGAGTAGCTGGGATTACAGGCACGCGCCACCACACCCAGCTAATTTTTGTATTTTTAGTACAGACGGGGTTTCACCATGTTGACCAGGACGGCCTCGATCTCTTGACCTCGTGATCCACCCACCTCGGCCTCCCAAAGTGCTGAGATTACAGGCTTGAGCCACCGAGCCCGGCCTAGAGCTATTATTTAAGGTAATGGGCATGATCCTCTCAGGTGCCTTAGGAACTGATGGGGTGGCCCCTGGAACCCAGAGTGGAGGAAGGGCAGCCTTCTCTATTGCAGAAGGATCCAGAACACAGGAGAGAGGCCTAGGGGAAGAAAATGGAATCCTACCGGGCTAGAGCTGGGCAGAAGGGGAAGGGGCAAAAGAATCTAGAGAGAAGACAGATTCGATGGTTAAAGGACCAAGAGTGGCTCTCCTGCAACCAGGGATGGGAAATACAGCCCATAGCCCCTTCGCCACTGGTATTCCTCCCAGAAAGACCCTGCAGCCCAGCCTCCAGCCCTCTTCCTGCCCAGTCCCCTCCCCAGACCTGCTTTTGCTACTTCTCACCGCTGAGTTGAACCTCAAGTGACAGATGTTACAGGAAATGAAGAGCTTCTTCTTCAGAGGGGAGGGGACCCCAAACGTGTGGCTGATGACAGCTTTCTGGACAGGGTCCATCTGTGAAGGGAGTAGGAGGGCGTAACTTTGGGGTTGGCTTGGGAAGCAGGGTTCAGGGGTGGCACAAAATGCCCAAAACTAAAGACTACTCAAGAGGGCTGTGGTCAGCTTTGAGGAAGAACTTTTCTGTCCTGTGGATGTTAGAAAAAGAAACAGCTGATTGGGTGCGGTGGCTCACGCCTGTAATCCCAGCACTTTGGGAGGCTGAGGTAAGTGAATCATCTGAGGTCAGCAGCTCTAGACCAGCCTGGCCAACATGAGGAAACCCCATCTCTATTAAAAATACAAAAATTAGCCGAGCGTGGTGGTGCATGCCTGTAGTGTCAGCTACTCAGGAGGCTGAGGCAAGAGAATTGCTTGAACCTGGGAGGCGGAGGCTGCAGTGAGCTGAGATCACACCACTGCACTCCAGCCTGGAGACAGAGTGAGAGTCTGCTGAAGAGAGGAAAGGGATAGGGGAAGGGAGGGGAGAGAAGGAGGGGAGGAGAGGGGAGGGAGGAGAGAGGAGGAGAGGGGAGGGAAGGGGAGGGGAGGAGAGGGGAGGGAAGGGGAGGGGAGGAGAGGGAAAAAGGCAAGGAAAGGAAAGAAAAGGAAAAAGAAAAAGAAACTGCCTATTCCCAGCTGTCTTTATTTGTCAGCCTGGGCTTCTGCTTGGAGGCAGGGGAATGGCCAGAGTGCCCTGCATGATTCTGGAGCATAGAACCATGTCCTGGTGATCACCTGGGCATCTCTTGCTGCCCCTTAGGTCATTATTTCTGTTATTTTCTCCTTTGCAAGAATTACAACTATTGGGACAGAAAGTTGGAAACAAGAGGAGGCAGGGAAGAGACAAAGAATCCTTCTGTTGGACTTACTCTCCCGTCACCCAGGCTTCATGCCTGGACCTGTGGGCTGGGGGAAGTTAAGTCCTATCTCATTAGCTCTGCCACTGGCACAGGGCCTGAGGCTGCTGATGCCTTTTTTTTTTTACTTCCCTGAGATAGAGTATTGCTCTGTTGCGGTGCCATGATCTCAGCTCACTGCAACCTCCACCTCTCTGGTTCAGGTGATTCTCCTGCCTCAGTCTCTGGAGTAGCTGAGATTACAGGTACCCACCAGCATGTCTGGCTAATTTTTGTATTTTTAGTAGAGATGGGGCTTCACCATGTTGGCCAGGCTGGTGTCGAACTCCTAGCCTCAATGTGATTTGCCTGCCTTGGCCTCCCAGTGTGCTAGAATTACAGACGTGAGCCACCATGTCCAGCCATGATGACCTCTCTTGAGAGAGTGAGAGCCACAGCCAGGGAAGGTGGGGGGTTCAGTGAGGGGCAGGGAGCAGCAAGTGGGGGCCTAAGGTTCCCTGAGGAGTGGGATCATTTATTTGGAATATTAATTTGGATTTTTTTTCTTTTCCTTATTTTAAGTCATTTTTTTTCTATAGAATTAAGGCTTTATGTTCCCTTTTCTCAAGAGGTTGGGCCAAACGCAGTTGTCTGAACTTGTCAAGAACTTCCCAGGCGAGGCACTCATCCTGTAATCCCAGCACTTTGAGAGGCCGAGGAGGGAGAATCCCCTGAGCTCAGGAGTTTCAGACCAGCCAGGGCAATATAGTGAGACCTCATCTCTGTTTCTATAAAAATAAAATAAAAAAAGAACTTTCCAAACCTTACCAAGAAAAGAAAACAGCTTAGAGAGAAAGCACATGGGTGCAGAAACTTCCCTGAGAACAGAGAGGTTCATATTCTCACAGCACCCAAGGTCAGCAAAGGACTCAGGGGACAGGACCTCAGAGGAGAATGGCCAGTGGGGGCCCCTGCAATTGGGACCATGCTTTTCAACACTGAGCCTGTCAGCAAGCAACAGCAGGGACTGAAGACCAGAGGACCACCCCCAAAATGCCTCACATGCCTTAGGACCTCTGTCTAACTCTGGAGGGTGGGAGGGAAGGGATTCCCAAGAGTGACTGAGATGGAGTTTGCCACCCTCTGCTCAAGAGGGGCATGCCACACCCATTATTTCATTTGATTTTTCAAAATTAAAAAAAAGGGAGATGGTTCCTGATCTCTCATATAGCAAAGTAAAATTCATACTATTCCTTGTGCACACACATGCAAAAGGAAATATACAGACCACGACACACACAGCACAAAAGCTTCAGGCGGTTACACATGTGCAGACAAACAGAACAATTCACACTCATGCACACAAAGGGTACGTGACCACAGACAAACTCACAATCACACAAAAACACACATGCTTAGAGGGCAGATGCACGCCACACACTTAAAAGACACAAGGACACAAGCCTGATGCACAGGCACACACCTTAATTACAATTATCCACGCACAAAGAGTTGTTTACAAAAACACACTGGACACCAACACACAAACTCATATCCACATATAACACAAAAATCTATAGAGAAACAAACTACAACAGAAAGGCACAGGTTACACACACATACACAGGTCACCCACAGGAGCCCTACACAGAGCTTGAGTGCAATGTACAGGCTACAGGCCCTTGCAGGCCCAGCGGCTGTGATGGTGGGGGTGGGGAGAGGGCTGACACCATCTTGTTCCCCAGCCTAAGAGAGAGTGGGGCCTTCTCCTAGGTTCCCAAATAGGGGTCCCTGTTTGGGGAGCACCTATCCCCTCAGGGGGATATTGGAGAACAAGCTCCTGTTAGACCCAGCTGCTGAGAGCCCCTCTGAGCCCACCTTCTGTGCCCACCCACCAGCTTGGCAGCATGCCCCCACCCACCAGCCCAGCCCATACCGTGCTGAAGTTGGGGAAGAGACTGAGCGGGGCGGCACCATTGAAGTGGAAGGCGAGCAAGTGCTTGAAGTCCAGCGGGGGCTGCAGAGGCCGGGTGGGCAGGGGCAGGGAGGCCAGCAGGGGGCTGGGGGCGCTGGAGGCCGGGCCTGCTGCAGGAGGAAGAAGTGCAGGGTCTGAAATGGGCTCTCTCCTACCTCTGTAGCCAGAACAAGAGGCGGATGGGCTTCTCGGCATGGAGCCAGGCAGAAACTTGTGTCTCTCTTCCCATAGTGGCACCAGCCAGAGCCAGGGTGATTACAGCCGCATTCTCTGTGCCCTTCCTCCCCACAGCTGAGGAAGGAGAGGCAGGGAGTCCACAGTTCAAGGCTCCCAGCCCAGAGGGACGACCCTCCCACCCTTCCTGTGGCAGCACACTGAACCCCAAGGCAGCCCAGCCAAGAGAGGGACAGAGGGGTCTGAGCAGGCCCCTGACACACACACGCCACCATGGAGACTGCATGTTGCGCTGGGTTTCCACTTTATTGCAAATTAAACGCAAACCCAGGGGTACGGGGAAAGGGACAGCCCTCTCCCTTCTCACTATCTAACTACGCTTCCTCCCATCAGATCCCCAGGACTTTCACAGCCAGGGCTGACAGGAGGGAATGGGAAACCCATGGCTCTGAAGGGATGTCTCCCCAGCTCTGATGAGGTCTAAACTGCTTTCCCCAGGAGGAAATAAGCCAGCATCCCTGGGTTGGGCCTCAAGGCCAGTCTCAGAGGCGGCAGGTACAGCACTGTGGTTTTGTACTCTTTGGTCTTAAAGGTCTGAGTCAAGGGCAGGGGAGGGGTAGGAACTTGGAGAGCAACCAGACTCTGAGGAAGAAAAAATTAGGAAAAAAGAAAAAATCCAGCCCATCTGGGGCTTTTTTGGACCCTGTTGTTGCAAAACCAAAAGTAGTCCTTTGAGATGTTTGTGTAGTAACACTATGAAAGATAACATAGATTTATTTCACATTTGTCGGTTTTTATGTCTATACACACAGTTATACACAAAAAAGGTCTGAGGCAGCCTATTGGTGAGGAGGGGAGGAAGGAACCGCTATCCCCCAGAACCACTGTGCCCCTGACCCATCAGCTTGTGTACAGAGAGGACGCTGTGCTGTGTGACAGAAACAAGTGCAGTCATCTACTCCCCAGTCATAGATGAAGAGAAGAGACACTGCCGGGAGTGGGGCTAAGAAACAGCCAAGGATAGGCCGGACGTGATGGCTCATGCCTGTAATCCTAGCACTTTGGGAGGCAGAGGTAGTGGATCATGAGGTCAGGAGTCTAAGATCAGCCTGGCCAACATAGTGAAACCCCGTCTCTACTAAAAATACAAAAAATTAGCTAGGCATGGTGGTGGGTGCCTGTACTCCCAGCCACTAGGGAGGCTGAGTCAGGAGAATCGCTTGAACCCGGGAGGCAGAGGTTGCAGTGAGCTGAGATGACACCATTACACTCCAGCCTGGGGGACACAGTGATACGTCTCAAAAAAAAAAAAGACGAAGGACCAGTGTCCTTTCCCTCAGCCACTCAATGCCCAAGACCCAGTCTTCCTCCCGAAAGCCAAGAACTTCCATTATGTGGGGGGCCAACCTTGGGGCAAGTCCAGAAGGGAAAAGGGTGAGCTACTCCTCATCTAACTGTGTAAAGTCAAGGAATGATTTCAGGTGCCCCAGATCCTAGCATCTCTGCCCACCCACCCAGGTCCCTCAATAGACCCAGTCCCTTCCTCCACAACCCACAGGGTGGGGTTGGTGGGACACTCCAGAAGGGTGGATGGGTGGCCTCAGGTCCCTGGGAGGCCACAGATAGTAGATCAGCTTGGGCACAGCATGGTCACATCTAGGTTGGCCCTTAGAGTGCCCAGGGCCCCAGGAAGGCTGGGCCCAGAGAAGGAAGCCATCTTCAAGTGAGATGTGATGCCAGGAAGCCTTCTCCCCACCCACTCTCTAAGAACTCCACAGCCAACCCGAAATCAAACTCGCGCAGCGGGGGCCCATCCACTGCGATCTTCACCACGTGGCCGCCGCGGCCTTCCCCGGCCCCACTCTGCCCCCACCACCGCAGCTCCCGGCTGCGGCCGACCTTATCCAGCAGGCCAGCGCCCGCGGGCAGCGCCAAGGCCAAGGCTGCTAGGGCAGCGAAGTCAGGGAAGAGCTCGTGCAGCTCCGAGTGTGCGCACGCCAACTGGGTGCACAGGGCCCGCGGGCCAAGCCGCCCAAGGCTGAACACCACGCGCTTGAACAGCGCGAAGTCTCCCAGAGCCCGCTGGCACACCACCGCAGGCGCAAAGCCGCGCAGCAGCACCCGCAGCGCCCCCTCGCCATGCGCGCCCAGCTCCTCCGGCGCCTGTGGGTAGCGGCGGGGGTCGAAGATCGCCGCGAAGGCGGCCACAGCGTCCAGCGAAGGCCCGGGGTAGGAGTCCTGCAGGCCCTTCCGCATGGAGTCCAGGAAGGCCCCCCGGAGCCGCTCCAAGCCCCGGACAGCAGCCTCGGAGTAACCCAGCAGCTCCACGCCGCGGTAGGTGCAGCGCCCGCTGCTGGTATCCGGATCAGAGGATGCCAGTTCCTGCAGGAAGCTCTGGAGGCGGGCCCCACCTGAGCCGCGTTGAGCTTGGAGGGAGGCGGCGGCTGCCATCACCAAGGGCTGCAGCAAGGCCAAGTCCGGTTCTTCTGCCTGCATGACAAGGGAGAGCTTCTGCACAGAGGGCAGGGCATCCAGCAGCAGGTGCGTGAAGGCCACAAAGGTGAACTGGCGCAGGGCCAGGGCCAGTGATCCCACCACAGGTGAGGCCAGGGCTGCAGCCTCCAGGGTGGGCACCAGGCCAGGCCAGGCCTCTGCCACTGCTTCCACAACAGGCAGCAGGGAGGCCCAAGGTACTGGCCGAGGCCCGGCCAAGTCAATAGCTGCCAGGTCCAGTGCTGCCCGGAGCTCAGGGACCAAGTGGGAACTAGGGCCACCATGGAGGCGGAATAGGGCATCCAGTATGCTCTCATATTGACCCAAGTAGGCAGGGGGCTCAGGATCTGTCCGGCCAGGGAGGCAGTGCAGCTCTGCCATCAGTGGGCAAGTGGCCCGGAGCTGTGGGCCCACACTCCCCAGGCGGCCACTGGGGAGGCTTGAGCTGAGCCAGGCCAGCTTGGATGCAGATACGCCGAAAGCCTGCAGGATGTCCAAGAGCTGGCCAGCAGTGGCCTCACCCTCCTGTAGCTCCACACTGCCCAGGAAGGTGGTGGCGGGCTGGCCATCACAGGGGGACACCGAAGTGGCAAACAGGGCCAGGCTATGTGACTCCGGCCAGTCCCTGGTCTCGTCCAACACCAGCCCCACATATGGGGATGCCTTCAGGCGCTGGCAGGCCTCTGTGTGCAAGACACTGGCAATGGCCACCTGGGACAGCCAGGAAGAGAAAGGGAAGGAGGACAGAATTAGGCTTGTCTTGAAAGGCGGAGACAGGCAGTGTGGCCTTGAGGTCAGACAGACTTAAGGACTAATCCTGGCTTTGTCACTTACTGGCTGTGCTACCTTTGGCCAGTCACTTCACCTCTCCGAGCCTCAGTTTTCTCATCTCTACAACTCCTGGTCTAAGAGCAATCCTTCCACCACACCCTGTCTAGTCTTCTCAGCTCTTTTTTTTTTGAGACGGAGTCTCGCATTGTTGCCCAGACTGCAGTGCAGTGGCACAATCTCGGCTCACTGCAACCCCTGCCTCCCAGGTTCAAGTGATTCTCTGGCCTCAGCCTCCTGAGTAGCTGGGATTACAGGCATGTGCCATCAAGCCCAGCTAATTTTTATATATTTAGTAGAGACAGGGTTTAACCATGTTGGCCAGGATGGTCTTGATCTCCTGACCTGGCAATTGCCCACCTCGGCCTCCCAAAGTGCTAGGACTATAGGTATGAGCCACTTCGCCCAGCCCTTCTCAGCTCTTATACCTGCTGTCACTAATACTAGCCCCACATCTTCTCAAAGCATTATTGTGAATTATCAATGTCAACTTTTGTTGCTGTAAAAGTGCTTTATGAACCATAAAGAGCTCTAGGAAAGCTAGTTTTTTCACTGCTTTTCTATAGCATCACCCTAGTCTGCCTTATCCCTGGGGGGTCTCCCTCCTCTGTCCAGCTCAGGGATTAACTGATAAGCATGCTAACTCCCAATTCCCAACCAGTCACCCTGGGTCCCAGCTGTGGGCTGTTTCTCTATTTGTCATCTCTGTAGGATGAGATCCAACCCCCCCACCTCCAACCCAGCCCAAAGGACTCAGACAGTTAGCACCTAGGACAGAGCTGCAATTTGCATGCCTCCAGGGGCCACGTGCATGATACTGAGCTTGGAGAGGGCCAGGGAGAAGCCAAAGGGCATGGGGAACTCCAGCACATCCTGCTCTGACAACATGGAGACCTTGATTTTCAATAGTCACAAATCTAGATTTTTATAGGTAATCTCCTGAGTTTTTTTAAAGTTGAAAACAAATTTGAGCTTTTCAAAAACACTATGAAAACTAAACAGGCTGGGCACAGAAAAGAGACCCAAAAGAAAACTAGGTCACAAGTCATTTCTACTTCCATTCCAGCACTTTTGGGGGGGCCAAGGCAGGAGGATTGCTTGAGGCCTGGAGTTCAAGACCAGCCTGGGCAACATAGTTAGACATCCATCTTTATGTCAAAAAAAAAAAAGGCTGGGCACAGTATCTCATGCCTATAATCCCAGCACTTTGGAAGGCTGAGGCGGGTAGATCACCTGAGGTCAAGAGTTCAAAACCAGCCTGGCCAATATGGTGAAACCCCATTTCTACTAAAAATACAAAAATTAGCCAGACATGGTAGCACATGCCTATAATCCTAGCTACTAGGGAGGCTGAGGCAGGAGAATCACTTGAGCCAGGCAGGCAGAGGTTGCAGTGAGCTGGGATGGTTCCAGTGCACTCCAGCCTGGGCAACAGAATGAGACTCCTTCTAGGGAAAAAAATTAAATACATAAACAAATTAAATACATCTGTGTAATCAAGCCTCTAGGCCACCAGTTTGCAACATCTCTTTCTGTGCCCACTAAGGGCAGGGCCCGGTCTGGCCTCTTCAGTGTTGTACCCCTGCAGCTGGCCCAGCACCAGGCACACAGCAGG